GACCAAGCGAGGGCGGGGCCAACACTCCATTCCCATTAACACTCCCTACCTCCCTTCCTCTCCTACCAACCTGGCAGGCTCCTTTGCTAGTTTCGTCTCCTTCTCGTCTACTTGATTCTTCTCGTCAACCCTTTCTCCGTTCTACCTGTATACTACCTTGCCACCCGTTCTACCCCACCAGGCTGGTTTACCCTCCCACCTACCAGACACTTGCTTCATCCTTTCATCCCATCTTCGTGTTGCCCGCTTGCCATTGCACTCTCGTTCTTTTGTATCCTCTCCAGCTGCTTCAGCCTTGACACTCTGGATTTTGTATGTACTACAACCGTACTGCATGTACTTGCTCAACTTTAGCCGTTTGATAGTACAGGTATGACAAGTAGCCATGCCATGTATCATTGTTGGATGCTTCATTATAATAATACACTTCAGTCTTCAGGATACTGAGCAGCCATTCGGTTGATAACTACAAATAAATTCAACTAGACTTTTCAAACATAATACTAGGTATTGGCACAAGGCCAAGAAGTGTTTCTTCCTACTTCAGTCTGCTGCACTGCATTGGGCCACGTGGTATACCACAAAACATGGCGGTGGGCACCTGTGAAAGCATGGTGGTACAGAGGGGCATGAGAGAAAAACGACAGGGCAAAGGGGTTAGTTAAAGAAAAACGAGCAGAGGGGAATAGGGTGAGTGAAGGGGGAAAGAGAGATGCGAAGACAGGGGGAGGAGAGATGCGAAGACATCTCCCTCCCCCCTCTGCCTTCTCCTCCCCCCAACCCCCTGTCATGACCTCCCTTCCCCCCCTGTCATGACCTCCCTTCCCCCCCTGTCATGACCCCCCTTCCCCCCCTGTCATGACCTCCCTTCCCCCCCTGTCATGACCTCCCTTCCACCCCTGTCATGACCTCCCTTCCCCCCCTGTCATGACCTCCCTTCCCCCCCTGTCATGACCTCCCTTCCCCCCCTGTCATGACCCCCCTTCCCCCCCTGTCATGACCTCCCTTCCCCCCCTGTCATGACCTCCCTTCCCCCCTTGTCATGACCTCCCTTCCCCCCCTGTCATGACCCCCCTTCCCCCCCTGTCATGACCTCCCTTCCCCCCCTGTCATGACCTCCCTTCCCCCCCTGTCATGGCCTCCCTTCCCCCCCTGTCATGACCTCCCTTCCCCCCCTATCATGACCTCCCTTCCCCCCCTGTCATGACCTCCCTTCCCCCCTTGTCATGACCTCCCTTCCCCCCCTGTCATGACCCCCCTTCCCCCCCTGTCATGACCTCCCTTCCCCCCCTGTCATGACCTCCCTTCCCCCCCTGTCATGACCTCCCTTCCCCCCCTGTCATGACCCCCCTTCCCCCCCTGTCATGACCTCCCTTCCCCCCCTGGCATGACCTCCCTTCCCCCCCTGTCATGACCTCCCTTCCCCCCCTGTCATGACCTCCCTTCCCCCCCTGTCATGACCTCCCTTCCCCCCCTGTCATGACCTCCCTTCCCCCCTGTCATGACCCCCCTTCCCCCCCTGTCATGACCTCCCTTCCCCCCTTGTCATGACCTCCCTTCCCCCCCTGTCATGACCTCCCTTCCCCCCCTGTCATGACCTCCCTTCCCCCCCTGTCATGGCCTCCCTTCCCCCCCTGTCATGACCTCCCTTCCCCCCCTATCATGACCTCCCTTCCCCCCCTGTCATGACCTCCCTTCCCCCCCTGTCATGACCTCCCTTCCCCCCCTGTCATGACCCCCCTTCCCCCCCTGTCATGACCTCCCTTCCCCCCCTGGCATGACCTCCCTTCCCCCCTGTCATGACCTCCCTTCCCCCCCTGTCATGACCTCCCTTCCCCCCCTGTCATGACCTCCCTTCCCCCCCTGTCATGACCTCCCTTCCCCCCTGTCATGACCTCCCTTCCCCCCCTGTCATGACCTCCCTTCCCCCCCTGTCATGACCCCCCTTCCCCCCCTGTCATGACCTCCCTTCCCCCCCTGGCATGACCTCCCTTCCCCCCCTGTCATGACCTCCCTTCCCCCCCTGTCATGACCTCCCTTTCTCTCCTGTCATGACCTCCCTTCCCCCCCTGTCATGGCCTCCCTTCCCCCCCTGTCATGACCTCCCTTCCCCCCCTATCATGACCTCCCTTCCCCCCCTGTCATGACCTCCCTTCCCCCCCTGGCATGACCTCCCTTCCCCCCCTGTCATGACCTCCCTTCCCCCCCTGGCATGACCTCCCTTCCCCCCCTGGCATGACCTCCCTTCCCCCCCTGTCATGACCTCCCTTCCCCCCCTGTCATGACCCCCCTTCCCCCCCTGTCATGACCTCCCTTCCCCCCCTGTCATGACCCCCCTTCCCCCCCTGTCATGACCTCCCTTCCCCCCCTGTCATGACCTCCCTTCCCCCCCTGTCATGGCCTCCCTTCCCCCCCTGTCATGACCTCCCTTCCCCCCTATCATGACCTCCCTTCCCCCCCTGTCATGACCTCCCTTCCCCCCCTGGCATGACCTCCCTTCCCCCCCTGTCATGACCTCCCTTCCCCCCCTGGCATGACCTCCCTTCCCCCCCTGGCATGACCTCCCTTCCCCCCCTGTCATGACCTCCCTTCCCCCCCTGGCATGACCTCCCTTCCCCCCCTGTCATGACCTCCCTTCCCCCCCTGTCATGACCCCCCTTCCCCCCCTGTCATGACCTCCCTTCCCCCCCTGTCATGACCCCCCTTCCCCCCCTGTCATGACCTCCCTTCCCCCCCTGTCATGACCTCCCTTCCCCCCCTGTCATGGCCTCCCTTCCCCCCCTGTCATGACCTCCCTTCCCCCCCTGTCATGACCTCCCTTCCCCCCCTGTCATGACCTCCCTTCCCCCCCTGTCATGACCCCCCTTCCCCCCCTGTCATGGCCTCCCTTCCCCCCCTGTCATGACCTCCCTTCCCCCCCTGTCATGACCTCCCTTCCCCCCCTGTCATGACCTCCCTTCCCCCCCTGTCATGGCCTCCCTTCCCCCCCTATCATGACCTCCCTTCCCCCCCTGTCATGACCTCCCTTCCCCCCCTGGCATGACCTCCCTTCCCCCCCTGTCATGACCTCCCTTCCCCCCCTGTCATGACCTCCCTTCCCCCCCTGTCATGACCTCGCTTCCCCCCCTGTCATGACGCCCCTTCCCCCCCTGTCATGACCTCCCTTCCCCCCCTATCATGACCTCCCTTCCCCCCCTGTCATGACCTCCCTTCCCCCCCTGGCATGACCTCCCTTCCCCCCCTGTCATGACCTCCCTTCCCCCCCTGTCATGACCTCCCTTCCCCCCCTGTCATGACCTCCCTTCCCCCCCTGTCATGACCTCGCTTCCCCCCCTGTCATGACGCCCCTTCCCCCCCTGTCATGACCTCCCTTCCCCCCCTGGCATGACCTCCCTTCCCCCCCTGTCATGACCTCGCTTCCCCCCCTGTCATGACGCCCCTTCCCCCCCTGTCATGACCTCCCTTCCCCCCCTGGCATGACCTCCCTTCCCCCCCTGTCATGACCTCCCTTCCCCCCCTGTCATGACCTCCCTTCCCCCCCTGTCATGACCTCGCTTCCCCCCCTGTCATGACGCCCCTTCCCCCCCGCTCTTCCTCACCCTCATGCCATCACCTCCCGTCCCCCACGCCCGCGCACCATTTCATACAAGTGCCGGCGACGTCAGTTTTCTCTCCGCCATACCCGCAGCCGTGAAATTTCCACGGGTTAAACCCTATTTCCGCATGACATGGTCAATATCATGCTCCCCTCCCTCCCCCCTTCCCCCCCGCCGCCTCTCAGTGTTTTCGCCATGTGCACTTTCCGCTCATTTCCCGCCGCATGTCGACTCCTTTTCCGTCAATCCATCCCCTCATGCCACCTGTCGTTACCCATCATTCCGCCGGCACAACACCTCTGAAATCAATCCCCGTTTCCCGCCTCTACTCTTCAGTCGCGGTAATCCAGGTGACTACGCTCACCAACCCTAAGCGTGCTTCGTCGTCAAGCTCGTCGCAGCACAGCGGACACGCGCGCTGTGGCTGAGAATGGGAAACATGGTGAAGAATAACGGCACGGTGAAGTTTGCTCTCATTCCTGAACTCTTGGCGGAACGCTCGCAAGTGACGGCTATAACATAATCACGAGCATACGCAAAGGGGAGCGCTTCTCCTGCTCACCTGTAGCAACGGTATTTTTTTGTTTCTGTTTTCACGCCTGTGGATAGAAGATTGCTTACTAATGCGCAGTGATAATGTTCCTACTACTACGTGAAAGGATACCATTGGGGCTTGGCGAATGTTGGCATTGGCACTTTGATTTTCCCCTGCCATTTCTCTCCCTTGCACGATCTGTGTTTCCGTCGTCAGGATTGGTCGCACAAAGTGCAAACATGCCAAACCTGTCCTACAAGGCTGTGATCCAAACCTGCCCCTGAGCTCTTGTTTTGGCCTCAACACTTTGGAACTTCGCCCATATATTTCCCCTGCTCGTCAAAAATTTCGTCACTCGTAAACCAATCATGGTCTTACTTTTCCAACCAAGTGTTAAACTCTAGTAAATATGAGACGCCAGCCGAACAGGGCCTAGAGGACAGAACAAGCCGAACAGGTTTGTCAAATCTCCCAGGTGGGAGGACCTTTTTCAAAATCACCCACCTTGGGATTCACGAATTTCACGCCTTTCTCGAGTCCGTCGAACCTTGGGCCCATCCCTTATGGATCCATCCCTCAAGATTATACCGACAGAACCAGCATCCTAGGAAGGTCTCTACTAGCAAACGCCTTCCACGTAATTAGAGGATCCGTTAGTAGGTTACAGGTCTCGACTAGCAAACGCCTTGCACGTAATTAGAGGATCCGTTAGTAGGTTACTCGATATAATCATGATGGCTTCCGCGGGACCGCGTACGCGGCCTGGAGCATCTGGTTCTGCACAAGGCTCCATGTCAGCATCTCCCTCCTCCGGCTCTATCCAGTCGCTATCGCAGGACCCGTCACGCGGTAATAACAACCGCGTTATAATGCTCATCGCCGCCTTACCGTTAGGCCTGGCGGCCTTCGCCTTTATCCTCCATTTGCAGGGTGATTTCGACATGTTAGACGACGGGCAGCCGCGGCTGCCCGGATGGCATCAGGTAGACTTCAGGAAACCGGATAAGAGCCTGGCGACGCCATCAGATGTACCATGCGATACAACGAGGAGCTTTAAACCGGGGATGTACCCGAATCCGTCGATCAAAGTGCTTGGAAATTTGCAGGATAGTCCGAAGCTACTAATTACTACGACCACGTCGGGCGGCGCGCAGCAGATTCTGCCGTGGATTATGTACCACCGCGCAATCGGCGTGCACTACTTCATACTATTCGTCGAGGGCAAGGCCTCTTCGCCGGAAAACGTGGCGATATTTGAGTCCATGGAGGTCGGTTACACGGGCCCCCCCTTCTCTCTTTCCCCGCCCCTCTTCCCCTCCCTCCCTCCCCCTTTCCCTCCCTTTATGCCCTCTCACTCTGCACTCACGTGAAATAAGTTGCTCGGAATTTGGGTAATTTTCGTGCATTCTTTTGTTATTGCTATACCCTCCTCGTTCGTCGCTTCCCTCTTCCCCCCGGTTGCCCCCTCCCCCTCCCCCCGCTTCCCCCCCTCCCACCCTCCCACCTCCTCAACCATCCTGGTTCATTGCTCGTATTCTTTTCTTTCCGCTCTATCCTCCTCGCTCGTATCTACTTCTTTCTCCCCATCGTCTTCCCTAGGGGCGTGGGTGCATCCCCATACTGCCGTTATTCCTTTCTCATCACTCTTATCCTTCCCTTCGCCCACTCTCACCCATTTTTCCCCCTTCTCACCGCTTCCCACCCCTTCCCCACCTACGCCCCCCTCTTCTCCTCTCTTCTCCTCCTCCCCCACCAACTCTCCGTTCTCCCCCCTCGTCCCCCAGGGTGTGACGGTGGTGCAGCGAACCAAGGAGCTGGAGGATCAGCAGGCCAAGAGGTGAGGTTTGAGCGCGTTTGAAATGTTCCAGAAGTGGTTTTCAGTAAATTTGGAAGTCCCTCGTCCCCCAGGGTGTGACAGTGGTGCAGCGAACCAAGGAGCTGGAGGACCAGCAGGCCAAGAGGTGAGCCGTGAGCGTTTTTGAAAATCTCCGCAAGTGCTTTCTGAGTTGACTCAGAGGTTTCTCGTCCGTCAGGGTGTGACAGTGGTGCAGCGAACCAAGGGGCTGGAGGATCAGCAGGCCAAGAGGTGAGCCGTGAGCGCGCTTGAAACGTTCCAGAAGTGGCCGTTGAGTCGACTCAGAGGTTTCTCGTCCGTCAGGGGTGTGACAGTGGTGCAGCGAACCAAGGAGCTGGCGGATCAGCAGGCCAAGAGGTGAGTGCTCCACACTCCGGTCCTCTCTGCCCTGCTCCCCTCGGTCCTACCGATAGCAGCCCTGTGTTTATTTGTTAAAATGGTCCACCACACCAAACTCTTTACTGGAGATATATTATAACCACCACATCCTACCAATAACCAGACTCTTTTCTTACACCACCCCGTTTTCCACCTCCCCTCACCTCCCCCACCTCCCCCCCCCTCTCCCCTTCCCTTCCCGCCTTTACCCACCCCCTTCCCCTCCTCTCCTTATCACAACGCGCCACCCTCTTCTCTGGCCACCATGAAACAAAGCATGGTCCCTCTCGTTTCTTTTTTTTCTGCAAACCCTGCAGCTACGACCTGCTATGCTAGTAACCACATGTTTCGAACCTTTCCTCTCCCTCTCTCTCCCCTCGTCACGTCCCCCTCCCCCTCGCAACAGCCCTTTCCTTCCCCTCCCGTTCCCCGACCCCTGTCACGTGTGGAACAAGACGTGGCTCCCCCTTTTCTTCTACAAGCCGTGCAGCTATCAGTTTCTTTAGCGCCCATCCCCTTATCCCGTATTTCCCCCGTCTTATTATCCCCGTCATACCCCCCTTTGATCCCTCACGCCAGCCGGGTGTGGAACGAGACGTGGCTTGCATTCTTCTTCTACAAGCCATGCAACTACCAGTTGCGCCCAGCTCCTCTCCGCGTGTTTAACGCGCGTGTTTCGCCCCATCATACCCCTCTTTGTTCCCTCTCATCAGCCGGGTGTGGAACGAGACGTGGCTTGCATTCTTCTTCTACAAGCCATGCAACTACGAGCTCTTTGTGCGCCAGTCCCTCAACATGGAGATGGCTATCGTCTTCGCCAGGGTGGGTTACCATGCCTGTTGTCTTCGCCAGGGTGGGTTACCATGCCTGTTGTCTTCGCCAGGGTGGGTTACCATGCCTGTTGTCTTCGCCAGGGTGGGTTATCATGCCTGTTGTCTTCGCCAGGGTGAGTTACCATGCCTGTTGTCTTCGCCATGGTGGGTTACCATGCCTGTTGTCTTCGCCAGGGTGGGTTACCATGCCTGTTGTCTTCGCCAGGGTGAGTTACCATGCCTGTTGTCTTCGCCAGGGTGGGTTACCATGCCTGTTGTCTTCGCCAGGGTGAGTTACCATGCCTGTTGTCTTCGCCAGGGTGGGTTACCATGCCTGTTGTCTTCGCAAGGGTGAGTTACCATGCCTGTTGTCTTCGCCAGGGTGGGTTACCATGCCTGTTGTCTTCGCCAGGGTGGGTTACCATGCCTGTTGTCTTCGCCAGGGTGGGTTACCATGCCTGTTGTCTTCGCCAGGGTGGGTTACCATGCCTGGGTGGGTTACCATGGTAATTAATTTCGCCGGGGTGGGCTACCTTGGTGATTCAGTTCGCCAGATAGGGTTACCATGGCTCTTTTTGCCAGGGTAGGTTCCCGTTGTCATTCTTTGCGTCAGGCTAGGTTACTACCATGGCTGTTGTCTTCGCCAAACTGGATTACCATGGTGAACGGAAGGGTCACTCCGACTTGCTCCTCCTCCCTCACTCCTGACTGCTTCCCGTTTTCCTCACCTCTCTCGTCTCACGTTGGCCCCACCGCGACCCCTCCGCTGCCCCATCAGGTGTTGGGCGTGGATTGGATATTCCATGTGGACACGGATGAGCTGCTGTACCCTGCAGACAATACAGTAATCCTTGGCTCTGCTCTGGGCTGCTGTGTTCTGCTGCCTTCTGCTGCCTGCCCTCCCCTCCCGTCACACCACTGCCAGGTGTTGGGCATGGATTGGATATTCCACGTGGACACGGATGAGCTGCTGTACCCTGCAGGCACGGCTGACTTCTCCCTCCAGCGCCTCATCCACGACCTGCCCAGCGACGTGGACCTTATAGTCTTCCCAAACTATGTGAGTGCAGTGCGGTGCAGTGCATTGCTGTGATGTGCTGTGCGGTGCAGTGCAGTGAAAGTTTCCTCAACCACCACCCCCTCCGCATGGCTTCTCCCTCCAGCGCCTCATCCACGACCTGCCCAGCGACGTGGACCTCATTGTCTTCCCAAACTACGTGAGTGCAGTGCGGTGCGGTGCGGTGTGGTGTGGTGCAGCGCATTCCCAACTACCCTCAATACCCCCTTCACACGTCTGACTTCTCCCTCCAACGCCTCATCCACGACCTTCCGAGCGACGTGGACCTCATTGTCTTCCCAAACTATGTGAGTGGAGTGCGGTGCGGTGCAGCGCAGTGCGGAGCGGTACAGTGCAGTGCAGTGTATCCCTTCATGCCAATGCACTCATCCCCCCTGTGTGTGCGTGCGTGCGTGCGTGTGCGTGCGTGCGTTTGTGTGTGTGTTCATGTGTGTGTGTGTGTGTGAATACAGGAGAGTGTGGTGGAAACAGCTGACGTGGGAGACTCATTCACCGAGGTACTACTACCGTTTTGAGGTGGTGGTGTTTCCCATTTTATCTTTTGAGTCGACTCAAACAGATTCACCGAGGTACTACCATTTTGAGGTGGTGTTTCCCATTTTTGAGACGTCTCAAAAATTCACTTCATTCACGTCACGTGGCTTTTTGTGTAGCTTATTGATATACTAATGTATGCGAATTATCCTCCCTGTTCCGACAGGTTTCACTGTTCAAAAAGAATTACGACCATGTTACAAGAGAAGCCTATTTCGCCCATTACAGGGATGTGAGTTCATGCGCGATTTCTTTCCCAATATTTGACTCTCACCATACCTGATCAGTGATCACTCACTGCATGGATCTGATATGCATGCATCTATGGCACTGGCAAGTGTGGGGCAAACCTGTTACCTCACCAAACCTTCTACCATCCTTGACTCTCGCCACGCCTTTTCGAGATGACTTTTGAGTCGACACAAAAGTCCTCTCGCCACGCCTTTTCACTCCCTGCAAGGATGCAATTTGCTTTTTTCTATGACATTAACAAGCAGGTGGCGTTTTCTTTTGGCGCTTAAATAATAGGCTCCCTGCATGGATGTGATATGCGTTCTGTTAAGGCACTGGCAAGCGTGGGGCGAATCTGTTACCTCACTGTGCATGCTTTCGCGATCCCTGACTCTCGCCATGCGCTCTCACTCCCTGCATGGATGTGGTATGCGTTCTGTTAAGGCACTGGCAAGCGTGGGGCGAGTCTGTTACCACTCTCCATTCCACCGGCTCTTGCTGCTCTGCATTTCCCTTCTCTTGCCTATCCGTGCGACAACACTCGCAGGCAGCACACGGCAACCCCAACTACTTTCTCACCTACGGCAACGGCAAGTCAGGGGCGAAGATGCAGGCTCACTTGAGGCCGAACGGGGCGCACCGGTGGCACAACTACATGAAGGTGCCCAAGTGAGTGGGACTGCTGGGAGAGTGACGACTGGGAGTGTTGTGGTGGAAAGCCCGTCTTATGAGTGATCGGTTCAAGGTGGTGCAAGTCAGGGGCCCAAGTCAGGGGCCCAAGTCAGGGGCGAAGATGTAAGCTCATCTGCGGCCCAATGGGGCACACCGATGGCACAACCACATGAAGGTGCCCAAGTGAGTGGCATGTCTGGTGGGCTAGCTGAGAGTGATGCAAGGTGCCACCGTGCTGCATGCATGACATAGGCTGCAAGCCAGGTGCCATTCAGAGACATGCAGGCTTGTCTGATGCCGAGTGGGGCACAGCACACCGGTGGCACAACTACATGCAGGTGCCCAAGTGAGTGTGACTGATTGGGAGTGTGACTGTTGTGAGCGTTGTGGCTGAAAGCCTGTCATGTGAGTGTGCGTGCGGTTGAAGGTGGTGCAAGTCAGGGGCCCAAGTCAGGGAATGCTGCATTTCACCTATACTCGCACTCATTCGACTTCACGCCTCTGATCGTACCCCATTGGTCCCTGTAACATTTGTTACACCTGTAACCACTCACTCACTCACTCACTCTCCCACTCCCCGCCCACAGGGAGGTGAAGCTGATGGAGGCGGCAGTGCTGCATTTCACCTACACACACTTCTCCGACCTCACGTCTCGGCGGGACCGCTGTGGGTGCAAGTCCAGCCTGTGCTTACACCTGTAACCACCCTGCCCACCCACTCCCCTACCCCCCATCATGCACAGGGAGGTGAAGCTGATGGAGGCGGCAGTGCTGCACTTCACCTACACTCACTTCTCCGACCTCACGCCTCTCATCACCATCTATCACTCACCCTGCCAACCCTTGTTCCCCACCCCCCCTCCCCGCCCCCTCCCCATGCACAGGGAGGTGAAACTGATGGAGGCGGCAGTGCTGCATTTCACCTACACGCACTTCTCCGACCTCACGTCACGGAGGGACCGTTGTGGGTGCAAGCCCAACTCGGAGGATGTGAAGAAATGTTTTATGCTCGACTTTGACCGCCTGGTGAGTGCTTTTTGTGTAGTACGTACGTCTTGGCTCAGATGTATGTACACGTCTCATCTGCGGGTGCAAGCCCAACTCCGAAGACGTGAAGAAATGCTTTATGCTCGACTTTGACCGCCTGGTGGTATGTGAGAGCTTTGTGCAGCACACGTGTGAGCCAAAACACACATGTATGTAGGCCGCGTGTGTGTTTTGGCTCACATGTGCCTGTCTCAGCTGCTGCGGGTGCAAGCCCAACTCGGAGAACGTGAAGAAATGCTTTATGCTCGACTTTGACCACCTGGTGAGTGCTTTCGATCTAGTCTTATGTGCTTTGGCCAAGATGTGCCCGTCTTGAAAGTCTGACTTAGATTGAGAAGGCAGCTCTTAATTTGGAAGGTGTGAAACACTCTTCGGGTGTGTTTTGAGTCGACTCAAAACAAACTTGGACGATGTGAAACAAACTTAGTCAACAAACAATCTTAGTCGACTTCAAACTCGTATATTTGAGTCGATAAAAATATTTGCTCGATACAGGAACTTTCACAGACATGCAGGAGCTAATCTCGCTTTTCCCCGTTTCACCATCTCTAGTTCCTTCCTCTCTCCTGTCTCTAGTCTCCCCCTGCATGCCTTTATCATCGCATCCACGCACACAGAGAAGCAGATTCCCCTTCCCCCCCTTCCCGGTTCTTTACTCGTCTCTTGTTCCTTCCGCCTGCCCTCCTCTTCTTCTCTCCCGTTCCCCCCTGTGCAGGCCTTTATCATAGCATCCACACAGACTGAGGAGTGGATTCCCCTCCCCCCATCTCTTCTTCACTCGTCTCTTGTTCCTTCCCCCCTCCCTTCCTTTCCTCCCTCCGGCAGGCCTTTATCATAGCGTCCACACAGACAGAGGAGCAGATTCCTCACTCGTCTCTTGTTCCTTCCCCTCGCCCTTCTCTTCCTCTCCGCCATTCCCCTGGCCGGCCTTTATCATAGCATCCACACAGATAGGGATGAGCAATATGACGAACTCCTGTTCGGTTCGCCTCGAACACGTTCGAGGCGAACCGAACAGGATTTGTTTTTGGCCTAAATTGTTCGGGGCGAACGTGTTCGGTGTTCGCCCGAACACGTTCGCCGTTCGCCCGGCTCAGCTCGCCGAGGCGCGTCGAACACGAACGTGTTCGTGTTCGACACAGGCCTTCGACGAACACCAATGTGTTCGTCGACGAATAGGCCCGCGACCAATTTTTAGGTCGCGGGCCTTGGTGTTTGGGCTCATATCTGGCCTTTCGCAGTTAGTAAAGTGCAGATCTAGCATTTCGCCCTTGCTTAAGTGCGGATCGAGCATTTTGCCGTTGCTTAAGTGCGGATCGAGCATTTCGCCGTTGCTTAAGTGCGGATCGAGCATTTCGCCGTTGCTTAAGTGCGGATCTAGCATTTCGCCGTTGCCCGCTGGCACTAGATGGATGAAGCAGGGCGGGACTGGCTTGGGAGGTGGGGGGAGGGAATGTGCAACGATTTGAATTTTACTCTATATAGAATTTCCCCCTGGGCGAACACGAACATGTTCGCCACGAACATGTTCGTGTTCGCCTGTTGCAGCAATTCGTTCGCCTCCTAGGGCGAACGGCGAACACCTATTTTCACTCAAGTCGTTCGCCGAACCGAACACTGTTCGGTTCGGCAGAAGGCCATGTTCGTCAGGGGGCGAACACGAACATGTTCGAGTTCGCCCCCTGCTCATGCCTACACACAGACAGAGGAGCAGATTCCTCACTTGTCTCTTGTTCCTTCCCCTCGCCCTTCTCTTCCTCTCCGCCATTCCCCCTGCAGGCCTTTATCATAGCATCCACACAGACAGAAGAGCAGATGTTCCAATGGTAGGCGTGTGATAATGACTACATCTCTTTTGTCCCATCTTTTTTGTTCCATCTCTTTTGTTGCATTCCTTCAGTTACATCTCTTCTGTTACATATCTCTGTTGTATCTCTTCTGTTACATCCCTTCTGTCCCATCGTCTGTTTCATCGCTTCCATTTCATCGCATCTTTCCTGAGTGTTCTGTCACATCCACCTTTCTCCTCTCCTCAAACGCTTGCGTGTCAACCTCAGGTATAAGGACCATGTGCTGTGGTCAGATCGTGACATGATAGAGAAGCTGCTTAAGAAGGGGATATTCGGTCGCATCCACACACCCCAGGTACACTGCAGTCCTATGAATGTTTGCTTTCACATCCTTGCATGGTATTTGGCAGACGTTTAGAAATTACTCTGCTTCCCCACTCTTGAATGTAGGCATCTTAAAACAGTTCCCTGTTGCCTCATCCTTTTCCTGTTCCCTGGTCTCCTCACCCTCTTCCCGACCCTTCTACTCCCTCCAGCTCATTCTCCGCAGCATATACGCCACGGGCATCATCAATTGCACTCTTGATTCGAGAAGCCTGGTTTGATTCAGTTCCCTTGTCCTCCCTTCCCTTCCTCCTTCCCTTTCCGTCCCCCCCCCCTGTCATTTCAGCTCATTCTCCGCAGCATATACGCCACGGGCATCATCAACCGCACTTTGGAGGCAGCAGCAGAGAGATGGAAGCGCCGCACCCAGCAGCAACGTTGTTTTCCCCTCATCTCCCCCTTCTCCCCACCCTTGCATCCCATTCAGCTGATCCTTCGCACCATATACGCCACGGTCATCATCAACCTCACTCTTGACTCGAGCTTCCTGATATAAAACAGTTCTTCCTTTCTCTTTTCCCTTTCCTCCTTCCCCCGGTCTCACCCAGCTGATCCTTCGCAGCATATACGCCACGGGCATCATCAATCGCACGCTGGAGGCAGCAGCAGAGAGGTGGAAGCGCCGCACCCAGCAGCAACAGGAGCAGCAGCAGATTCTTCAGCCGCAGCTGATACAGCAGAAGCTGCAGCAGCAGCAGAGGGAGCGACTGCAGCAACAGCAAAAGAATCATCAGCTGCAGCAGACGCAAGAGAAGGTGCAGCAGCAAAAGAATCAGCAGCCAGGACAGCAGGAGAGCGACAAGCATCAGCCAGGGACAGGGCACGGGGGAGAGGAGGCGGGAGGCAGAGCATCAGTGCAGCTGCTACAGCAGGCAGTGGAGAAGGAACAAAAGGAGGAGCAGAAACGCCGGCTTGCGCTCGACAAGGTTTCTCACTTCATTTCTGACAGTGTCCAAGGCGTAGCAACAGCAGCAACAACAGCAGCAGCAGCAGCGGCAGCAGGAGCAGCAGGAGCAGCGGGGCAAACTCACTCTAAGTCCGTCAGTAATGGCCGGGGACGTTCGGGAGAGGCTGGCACGGGTGCAGGTTCGGCGAGGTTCGGCGGTGGTTCGGGAGGAGCAGGCGCGGGCGGAGGTGTGGAAACTGGTGGGAGTGGCGGTGGGAGTGGTGACGGTGTGGCAGCTTCTGCTGGTGGTGCTGGTGGCAGTGGTGGCATCAGTGGGGGAGGAGGTGGTGGGGGTGGTGGTGGAGGTGGGGGTGGGTCTGCTGGTGGCAGTCGATTGTTCAGAGGAGATGCGCTAGACTCAGCAAGGCTAGCAGAGAGGGCTGCTGCAGGCACAGGTGCTGCTGCTGTTGGTGCTGGTTCTGGCAATGCTGGTTCTGGTGCTGCTGACACTGCCACACACACAGGGTCTGACTTGCAAATGCAAATGCACACACGAGCCATTGCAAGAAGGCGGTTACTGGCAGCACAAGAGGCACAGTCTACTCTGGTAGTGCAAGACCTGGTCTCTGAGAGGGAGAGTTACAGGTATGCAGAGGGGTGGAGTGTGGTAGGATCTGAAGGTGTGGCGGTGGGATTTGGAGGTCAATTAGAGGCTGCTGCTGTGCCGCCACTGGCATCTCCTGCTCCTGACGAGCTTTAGCTGTAACACTGTTACACTGTTACACTGTTACGGGACAAACCTCTGCATTAGTATCCTGATGCCGTTGGTATGTTTTATGAAATACACCTTTGTTTGCCTTCGTTTAGAACATGCAGTGTCTTTCGTATTTTGATCTTCATACGCTATGGTACCTGAAACCACACTGGAATTGCACACAAACGAAGCACATACCGTACTACATCTGATACTCCAAGAACGGAAACCCTATTCACATCCAAGTCAAAACAGCAACGTATGCTAGAGCTACTGTTGCCTAACTTCCCTCCCTCAAACCTCCCGACCTTCATACTCTACACCACAGGGTTACCACATGCAGTGTCTTTCGTATTTTGATCTTCATACGCTATGGTACCTGAAACCACACTGGAATTGCACACAAACGAAGCACATACCGTACTACATCTGATACTCCAAGAACGGAAACCCTATTCACATCCAAGTCAAAACAGCAACGTATGCTAGAGCTACTGTTGCCTAACTTCCCTCCCTCAAACCTCCCGACCTTCATACTCTACACCACAGGGTTACCACATGCCATACATGTTTACCACATGCCCATCTATCTGCAGCAGTGTTTATTATAGCTTAGTAGCGGCAGCAGCAGCAGCAGAAGACGATATATCCCTGATCAGCAAACAAGCTTGTGAGGAGAAAGGGCCTAGAGTATACTAATCCCCACTATCACCCTTACACATGTAGCACACCATACCTCTGCCCTGTTTTGAGATATCACAACACTCCCCACCATCACCTGACGACCACACCACACTGCGGCAGCAACAGCACCACTGGCAGCAGCAGTGGTGGTGCCAGCAACACGGTGATCAACTTAAACAGCGGCAGATTATTGAGACATTTCTACACCCTGCCGCCAACAGGCCGACTCTCCTGTAACGTTTCTGTCGCCTCCTATCGCGTAGGCTTAAAGGGCAGCAGGAGCACCAGGCGCAACCGCACCAACAACACCAGCACCACTGGCAGCAGCACCAGCAGCAGCGGCACCGCCCCACCGTAAAGCGGAGGACAAGGGGAAATCCACATGGACCCAGAAGAAACACCTCCCAGCCTCTCTCGAATACACCACCTCTCCCTTCATGCTCTTCAGCATCTTCCTTATAAGGCTCAGCGACACGCCCTCTGCGTTGCTCCTTAACGCACCGCTCCCGCTGCTCATGCCTCCCACGCTGCCCCCGCCATCGCTGCTCGCCCGGCCGAAGCTTCTATCACCAGCAGAAACAGAAGCGGTGGGGGTGGTGGCGGTGGTGGTGGTGGCAGTGGCGGTAGAGGTGGTGGCAGCGTTGGAATCAAACATGTCTTGGATTATCTCCTCTGGTAGACCCCGCCCCGTGTGAGAGATTCTGGTAGGGGGCGGGGAAAGAGGGGAAGAAGGAAAAAAAGAGGGTCAGAACGGGAGTAGGTTGATTTTGAAACACTTGTCAGCAGCAGCAGCGGTGGCAGCACAAGCACCAGCTGCAACAGCAGCAGCACTGGTGGTGGTGGTGGCGGTGGCGGTAGAGGTGGTGGCAGCGTTGGGGTCAAACATGTGGTGTATGTATGATCTCCTCTGGTAGACCCCGCCCCGTGTGGGAGATTCTGGGAATGGAAGAGAGAGAAGGGGGGGCGGGGGGTGGCAGAGGGAAAGGAGGAGGTGAGAGAATGAGAGAAGGTTGATGAGGTGAGTCATGTGCCTTACTTACATCAAGTTGTTAACTACCTACATACACCCATTATAATCGAAGACACAGCTAGCCATCGTGCACCTTACATAGCACCCACCCATCACACACCTTACATCAAGTTCTGTACCTTATATCGAGTTCAGCCATGGTTGTCGTCCCTCGAAAGAGCCGCGACCCCTTTTGAGTCACCTCCAGCTTCACCAGCCCCGTGGCTTGAGTGTGACCCACTGCCGCACACAGCAGCCCTCCCAGAATCTGCAAGGGGAAAGCAGAAGAGTGTAAAAGAGAGTAAAATTTAGCCCTTGCGAGTGGCCTACCCCTGGCTGGGTGATACGTCCCCCCTTAAGCTCAGCCCAGCCTATTGCCTGTCCCTTCTTCCCTCCCTTAGCCTCACCTGCTGCAGTCTCGGCGCATCGCCGCACAGGGGCAGTGTCTTGACGTCACTGCCCAGCTCAAGAGCGAGCTTGGCGCCCTTGCGCGTGGCAAGCAGCGTGGCAAGCAGCGTGGCAAGCAGCGTGGCAAGCAGCATGGCAAGCAGCGTGGCAAGCAGCGTGGACTGGAGCTTGGTTTAGCGAATGACCCACCCGTCAGCTTACCCTACTGCCTCTCCTTTCCTTCCCTACTCTCACCTGCTGCAGTCTAGGAGCATCCCCACACAGGGGCAGCGTCTTGACGTCGCTGCCCAGCTCAAGAGTGAGCTTGGCGCCCTTGCGAGTGGCCAGGAGCGTGGCCTGGCTGATGACTGCCCCGCACACGGTCTCCATGGTGAATGGCAGCGTGGCGAGCGGTGCTTGGCTGTTGGGGTGGGGGGAAGGGGCAGGGAGAGGAGGGAAGCGCACAAGCGGAAGGAGTAGACGTTGAACAGCCAGCAGCGTAGCCTGACTTATGGCTGCTCCACACACGATTTCCATGGTGAACGGGAGCATTGCAAGCGGTGCTTGGCTGTTGGGGAGGAGGATGCGGGGAGGAGAGATGGAAGTGCACAGGCGGCAGTACATCATGGTGGATCGAAGAGCAAGCAACGTGGCCTGGCTTATGACTGCTCTGTTAGAGTTAGCCCTCAATACAACTTTTGTATTTGTACTTTTATATCCTAGTGTAGTGTAGTTAGCAGTTTGTGTTGGTTGGATGTACACCCACATCCCAACCAAACCCAAATGTGATCACCTGAAATCTCCAACCCACCAATTGGAGATTCCAGCCGATCCCCTTGGGATTGCCCCCGATTCCCTCCGGATGTACTTAAAGGTCCTTGAGCTCATTACAAATCTATCAGTTCAAGCTCAATTCTTACATGGTATCAGAGCTCTTCGCACACGAGGATCGTGATCGTCTTACCTTTGCGGAAGCTATTACCGCACTCCTCGGCGAAGCCGCTTTTGAAACTCCGTCACGTGGCGACCACGCTCGTCATCGCCTTCTCTTCTCTGGCCGGAAATTCTCCCGCGCCACCTTCGTTGCCGTCGATTTGCGACATCCCTGACCGGTTTTTTCTCCCGCGCCATTCTACTTCGTCAACCCGTTCGATCTTCCCGTCGCAATCACGCTCATCGGCATATCAAACGGTACGATGGAATTTCCCATCCCAAACAGTCGAAGACACTAACGACCTCCATTCCGACCCCTACCACATCGATGCCATTCCCGGTTAACGGAAGCGACTAAACAGGTGCAGCAGAACAGGTGCAGCTGAACAGGAGAAGCGGAGCTATGTAGCAGTGAAGCTGTGTAGCCGTGAAGCTGTGCAGCTGTGAAGCCGCAAAGCTGTGGGCCAGGGCGGGGGGGCCGGTGTGTGGGGTGTGTGTGGGCGTTAGGTTAGAAATAGGTCTTCATTACCGGAATCGGCGGTTTTCACCTAATTTCGTAGACATGAAAATTCCTTCTACGGGACATTCCGAAGCCGCCGACATTGACATTTTTTCTCTTCGCGACCTTCGGATTTCGGAATCGCAGCGCTGCGCGCCGCTTTTTTATCAAAGACTTAAAGAGTGGCGCTCCGCGCGAAACATAGAGGGTCTTCAACATGGCGTTCGCTTCCTCCACCATCGCCGACCCCATCACCCCTCTTCGCCTCGAAGCCAACCCAGAAGGCTCGTTGGCTCACCTTCCTCCTCCATGAGCTTGGCTACCCTCAGTCCACACCAACCCTCTGGTGTGACAACCAGAGTACCATCCGCCTCTCCCAAGATCCTGTGTTCCACACTCGCACCAAGCACATCGAACTTCGCCAACTTCTTCATTCGTGGCCTTGTTTAGCGTGATCAACTGAAGGTGCGGTACATTGCTTCTGACTGCAACTTGGCCGATCTGTTCACCAAATCCCTTGGGAAGGTTCCCCATCATCGTCTTCTTGGCGACATGGGGTTCTGTGCTCCATCTTCTCTGCCTTGAGTTCGATTGACGTCTATGGGGGGGTGTTAGAGTTAGTACTCAATCTCAACTTTTGTATTTGTACTTTTATATCCTAGTGTAGTGTAGTTTGCACTTTGTGTTGGTTGGATGTACACCCACATCCCAACCAAAACCCAAATGTGATCACCTGAAATCTCCAACCCACCAATTGGAGATTCCAGTCGATCCCTTTGGGATTGCCCCCGATTCCCTCCCCATCCATTCCTTGCTCATTCTCGGATGTACTTAAAGCTCATTACTAATCTATCACTTCAAGCTCCAGTTCGTACATGCTCCACACACGATTTCCATGGTGAATGGGAGCATGGCGAGCGGTGCTTGGCTGGGAGAGGACAAGAAAGTGAGGGGGGGAAGGCAAATGAAGGTAGACAGAAGAGCTTTGAGGCTGTGAGTGAATTCGGGAGCAAGCAGCGTTTAGATGTTGCTCAATGGCCAACATGTCAGTGTCAGTCACAATCTTCCTTAGCTGCATCTCCCATTAAGTCCATTCACCTCCTTCCTAGGACCCCCAACCACTCACACACTCACACCCTCACTCACTCCCTCACTCCCTCGCGCACCCCACACACTCACCCCTGCTCAATGGCCAGCATGTCGGTGTCGCTCACAATCTTCCGCAACTGCGTCTCCAGGGCCACGCTCGTGCGCACCCACGGGACCTGCTTCCCAGAGAACCCCGCCCCCATCTGTTCCATCCGCGCAAACGAGTACGCAAGCCCATCCAACGGCCCTCGGCTCATCTCCCTCACGTATGCCACCTGCCTCGCCTTGTCCGAGGCGAGTTTCTCGGCCGTCTTCTGCTTGTCGACGGCTTGCCGGAGCTCAAGAGAGGCCGTGTGGAGGAAGCAGAAGGCGCCGACGACTGAGTTCCCGTCTGCTGAGTGCCTGGGGTGCACAGATAGCAGCAGCTCCATGAGGGTTCTCTGGGGATAGAGAGCGGTGGAAGGGGGTTGGGAGTGTGGAATCAGGGGTTAGGAGGAGCTCCAGTGAGGCAATGTGCAGTGAAACCCTAAACCCTAAACCCTTATCACCCTCAACTCTCTCTCACCCTGCTAAGCCTCTAAACCCCTTCGAATCGAACTCCTCTGTTTCTCACCTGGCGGTTGAGGAAGGAGAAGGGGACTCTGACAGCCTCGTGCCCGGCCATGGCCTTGCTGATAACAATCATGAGCTTTGTCATGGCATCGCCGCTCTCCATACTCCCACCTCAATGCCTAAGAGCCCTCACCTGGCGGTTGAGGAAGGAGAAGGGGACCTTGGCAGCCTCGTGCCCCCCCATGGCCTTGCTGATCACGATCATGAGCTTCGTCATGGCATCTCCGCTCTCCATGCGGCAGAGGGAGCCGAAGACGTCCCCGATGAGCATGCCCTCTACACCACCTTGGTTGGTCCCCCTGGAAGCCCCAACCCGCACCTGCTGCTGACCCTCTCAACCCCGAATTCTCACCTGCCGATTCAGGAATGAAAACGGGACTTTCACAGCCTCGTGGCCAGCCATGGCCTTGCTGATGACGATCATGAGCTTCGTCATGGCATCGCCACTCTCCATGCGGCAGAGGGAGCCAAAGACGTCCCCTATGAGCATGCGCTCCCACACCTCAAAGCGCGTGAACCCCGTGACTCGCTCCATTGCCGCGTTCCACTCCGTGCACAGCCCAAACTCTGCCCATCAGAGGGGGAAGGGGGGAGGAGGAAGGGGGAAGGGGAAGGAGAAGGGGAGGGGGGAGGTTGAACCCCGTCACCCTCTCCATCCCCGCGTTCCACTCCGTGCACAGCCCAAACTCTGTGAAGAGAGGGATGGGGGGGAAGGGGGAAGAGAGTGGGGGTGGTTGAATCCCGTCACCCTCTCCATTGCCGCATTCCACTCCGTGCACAGCCCAAACTCTGCCACAGGGAATTGGGGATAGAGGGGGAAGAAAGGGGAAGGGAGGGTGGAGAGGAAGGGCAGAGGGCTCAGGAGATGAAGAAGCCAAAACGCTGGTGGGAGGAGGAAGACAGGAGGAAGACAGGAGGAAGGGGTCAATGGCCTTGACATGTCCCACAAACCACACCCCCTGCACCTGCTGCTTCGACTTTTGAGACGTCTCAAAGGTCAAGGGCCTTGACATGTCCCACAAAGCACACCCCCTGCACCTGCTGCTTCGACTTTTAAGACGTCTCAAAGGTCAAGGGCCTTGACATGTCCCACGAAGCACACCCCCTGCACCTGCTGCTGCGTCCCTCCCTGCCACTCCCTCACTCCCCGCCACTCCCTCACTCCCCGCCACTCCCCCACTCCCCCTCTCACACCACACTCACCGCCCCACCCACACACACGCACCGACCGCCACAACCCCACTCCCATCGCACCCATCCCAACCACCACAACCCCAGGTGTTCAATCAGCTCACCATCGCAGCCGAAGATGGGGGGGATGAGGGAGCTGTGCGCGTGCACAATCGCTTCATAGTCCCCCTTGACCTTCCTGAACCGCTCGTTCACCACCCTCTCTACCGTCACGTCCTGCCCCACCAAGCACACCCCCTGCACCTCCTGCTGCTGCTGCACCCCTCCCTGCCCCACAAAGCACACACACCCCCTGCACTGCACCTCCTGCTGCGCCCCTCCCTGCCCCACTCTCCCACTCACCATCGCAGCCGAAGATGGGGGGGATGAGGGAGCTGTGTGCGTGCACAATCGCTTCATAATCCCCCTTGACCTTCCTGAACTTGTCGTTCACCACCCTCTCAACTGTCACGTCCTGCCCCACGAAGCACACCCCCTGCACCTCCTGCTGCGCATCGCGGCTCACAAACGTGTTGGCCAATAGGATCACAGACGACCCCACGTCAATCCCAAGGGCGTCAGCTGCTGCACCAGCAGCACCAGCAGTACCACCGCCGGCAGTGCTGCCAGCTGCGGCTGTGGCGGAAGCAGCAGCAGCAGCTGCGGTGCTGCCAGTGCTGGCGCTGCGTGCCGAGGGGCCGGAGAGGCTGCGCTCCGTTCCCCACGAGTGCAGCCGCAGCTGAATGTTGTGTGCCTCGCGACCTGCATGGGAGACCGGGGAAACGGAGGAGAAGGGGGTGGGAGATGACGTGGTGAAAGGGAGGGAAGGCCCATGTTTTGCTGTCTGCCGAGGGACCGGAGAGGCTGCGCTCTGTTTCCTGTGAGTGCAGGCGCAGCTGAATGTTGTGTGCCTCTCGACCTGCATGGGAGACCGGGGAAACGGAGGAGAAGGGGGTGGGAGATGACGTGGTGAAAGGGAGGGAAGGCCCATGTTTTGCTGTCTGCCGAGGGACCGGAGAGGCTGCGCTCTGTTTCCTGTGAGTGCAGGCGCAGCTGAATGTTGTGTGCCTCTCGACCTGCATGGGAGGCCGGGGAAATAGAGGAGAAGGGGAGGGGGGGAAGGGAGATTGGGTGGCGAACGGGAGGGAAGGGTTGTGTGATTGTCTTCTAGGGGGCGGAGAGGCTGCGCTCTGTTTCCTGTGAGTGCAGGCGCAGCAGCTAAATTTTGTGTGCCTCGCGACCTGTGAATAAAAGGGGAGGAGTGGCTGTGGGAATGGAAACAGCCGGGGAAGGGGGGGGGGGAACCTCTTTTCATAAAGGCACTTGATCCGGAAAGGTTCCGATCTGTTCTCGATGGTGCAGTGCGCAGCAGCAGCATCACTGAAACGCCTGGGAAAAAGCAACCCACCTTGAAAGGCAAGGTTGAGGAGAGCGGTGTGAAGTTGGGTCGTGGACTGCACGTCTGCTGCCCCTGAAAGGAGAATGACCATGGGCCACTCAGGTCAGGCAAGTGACCATGGGAGGAGACTGACCTTGCAAGGCAAGGTCAAGGGCAGCGTGCAGCTGTGTCTTGGACTGCACGTCTGCTAGATCGTCCACCAGAGACTTCCCGATGGCAGCAGAGAAGGGCAGCCCTGTGAGCGTCGCCACCTTGTTGTTCCACCCCCCATCTCCCCCCCTGGTGCACCCCTCACCTCACTACTGTGGGGTAAACAAGCAGCAGCACTGATGCTGAAACACCTGGGGAAAGCAACCCACCTTGAAAGGCGAGGTCTAAAGCAGCGTGGAGTTGGGTCTTGGACTGCACGTCTGCTAGATCGTCGACTAGAGATTTCCCGATGGCAGCAGAGAAGGGCAGCCCTGTGAGCGTCGCCACCTTGTTGTTCCACCCCGTGAGAACGGCAGCTCTGGGACTTCTTGGTGCCCCCTTGTTGTTCCGCCCACCTATCCATCCACCCACCGTGTAACACTAGAGCGCACCTTGGAAGGCGAGGTCGAGGGCGGCATGAAGCTGCGTCTTGGACTGCACGTCGGCTAGATCGTCCACTAGAGATTTCCCGATGGCGGCAGAGAAGGGCAGCCCTGTGAGCGTCGCCACCTTGTTGTTCCACCCCGTGATGCACCCCTCGCGATCAACGGCCAGGATCGGCGCAGACGCCGTCTCGATGAAGTGCACGAGCTGATCGAAGGTGGCAGCGTACAGCTTGTCCAGCTCCTGGGGTTGTGGGAGAAGGTGGAAAGCGGTGGGGAGGGGTGGAAAGGTTGGTTGGAGGGTTTAGGGTTTAGGGTTGGAATGAAGGATTGCACCCAAGCTGATCATAGGGTGGCTGCGTACAGCTTGTCCAGCTCCTGGAGTTGTGGTAAGGAGAAGGTTGGGTGCGGTGGGGAGGGGTGGGAAGGGTGATGGAGGAGGGGGGAAAGAGGCAGACGCCGTCTCGATGAAGTGAACGAGTTGATCGAAGGTTGCTGCGAACAGCTTGTCCAGCTCCTGAGGTTGATGGACAGGGTGGGGTGCAGTGAAGATGGGTGGGAAGGGTGATGGAGGAGGGGGCAAAGACGCAGACGCCGTCTCGATAAAGTGCACGAGTTGATCGAAGGTTGCTGCGAACAGCTTGTCCAGCTCCTGGGGTTGAGTGGAGGAATGAAAGGAGGGAAGGAGAAAGGAGTATGGGAGGAGGAGGGGAGTGGCGGTCAAAACGACTGCAATAATGCACGAGCTGATCGAACGTGGCTGCGAACAGCTTGTCGAGCTCCTGAGGTTGAGTGGAGGGATGAAAGGAGGGAAGGAGAAAGGAAAGGAGTATGGGAGGAGGGGAGTGGCGGTCAAAACGACTGCAATAATGCACGAGCTGATCGAACGTGGCTGCATACAGCTTGTCGAGCTCCTGGTGTAGTGGTAACAAGGAGAAGGTGGGGTGCAGTGCAGTGGGGAGCGAGCGGTGGGGATGGGGGAATGGACACCAGGGAATAGAGGGAGACGAAGGGCAGAACTCACCTCTGGAGAGAGAGCCATTTCTGCAGCAACACCGCCTCCTCCTCCCCCAACAGGGACACCGAGGCGCATCCTGTGAACGGCACGGCATCCCTGAGAATGATCTGCACCGAGTGGATCGCATCCACCTCCAGCCTCCAGGTCGACTTGAAACACCGGAAGAAAAGGGAGCAGGGAGGACGAAGTCTCACCTCGGGAGAGAGAGCCATTTCAGCAGCAGCGCCCCCTCCCGCAACAGGGACACCGAGGCGCATCCTGTGAACGGCATCCCGGAGAATGATCTGCACCGAGTGAATCGCGTCCACCTCCAGGTCCTGCCACGGTGCAGAGCGGTGCCTCACCACCTCCAGAAACGCCTCAAACGATTGCCGCGGGTTCATCTTCTTCACATTGTCCGTCGGGGCCCCAGAAGGAGGAGAAACCAGGGAAAAGAGCGAGAGTCCTGAAGGGAAGAAAGAGGGAAACTCACCTCGGGAGAGAGAGCCATTTCAGCAGCCGCGCCCCCTCCGCCAACAGGCACCCCAAGGCGCATTCTGTGAACGGCATCCCGGAGAATGATCTGCACCGAGTGAATCGCATCCACCTCGAGGTCCTGCCATGGCGCCGACCGATGCCTCACCACCTCCAGAAACGCTTCAAACGACTGCCTCGGGTTCATCTTCTTCACATCGTCCTTCGGGGCCTTCCCGGGCTTTTGCTTCGCGCCGCTCCAGTGGATCTGCTTCTGCACGTGCGATCTCAGCCACAGGATGAAGTCGGACTCGCCGATCTGGGCCATTGCTACGCCGCAGACGGAGTCCCCGAGGGAGGCTGCCTGGGGGTAGCCGGCCGCGAGCAGGCTGTCGATGGTGAGCCCGGTGGTGTTGGGGTGGGCCGTTTGGATCCACTCGATGATTGAGAGCACCTGGGGTGGGTGGAGTGCAGTGACGAGGGGTGGGGTGCAGTACAAAGGGGTGAAGGGGAGTGAGGCAGGGTAGAGGCTGCGTGGGGGTAGCCGGCCGCCAGGAGGCTGTCGATGGTGAGGCCGGTGGTGTTGGGGTGGGCCGTTTGGATCCACTCGATGATCGATAGCACCTGGGGTGGGTGGAGTGCGGTGACGAGGGGTGGGGTGCAGTACAAAGGGGTGAAGGGGAGTGAGGCAGGGTAGAGGCTGCGTGGGGGTAGCCGGCCGCCAGGAGGATGTCGATGGTGAGGCCGGTGGTGTTGGGGTGGGCCGTTTGGATCCACTCGATGATTGAGAGCACCTGGGGTGGGTGGAGTGCGGTGACGAGGGGTGGGGTGCAGTACAAAGGGGTGAAGGGGAGTGAGGCAGGGTAGAGGCTGCGTGGGGGTAGCCGGCCGCCAGGAGGCTGTCGATGGTGAGGCCGGTGGTGTTGGGGTGGGCCGTTTGGATCCACTCGATGATCGATAGCACCTGGGGTGGGTGGAGTGCGGTGACGAGGGGTGGGGTGCAGTACAAAGGGGTGAAGGGGAGTGAGGCAGGGTAGAGGCTGCGTGGGGGTAGCCGGCCGCCAGGAGGATGTCGATGGTGAGCCCGGTGGTGTTGGGGTGGGCCGTTTGGATCCACTCGATGATTGAGAGCACCTGGGGTGGGTGGAGTGCGGTGACGAGGGGTGGGGTGCAGTACAAAGGGGTGAAGGGGAGTGAGGCAGGGTAGAGGCTGCGTGGGGGTAGCCGGCCGCCAGGAGGATGTCGATGGTGAGCCCGGTGGTGTTGGGGTGAGCGGTTTGGATCCACTCGATGATTGACAGCACCTGGGTGGAGTGCGGTGGAAGGGAGTGAAGAGGGGTGAGGGGAGTGAGGCAGGGTAAAGATTGCATAGGGGATAGCCGGCCGCCAGGAGGCTGTTTATGGTGAGCCCAGTGGTGTTGGGGTGGGCTGTTTGGATCCACTCGATGATTGACAGCACCTGGGTGGAGTGCGGTGAAGAGGGTCAAGGGGGAGTGACGAGGGGTGGGGTGTAGTGAGGTGTGGTGAAATGGGGTGAAGGGAGTGAGGCACGGCAGGGGCTGCTGCTCGGGCGTAGCCAGCAGTGAGGGGGCTCTCTAGGGAGATCTGCGACGTTGGGGTGGGCGGTGCGGTGGGGGGCATGAGGGCGTGGAAGGGAGCGAAGGGGGAGGAATAGGATGGTACGGGATGGAAAGCGGTGGAAGAGGGTGGAAGGGGGTGGAAGAGATGCAAGCACACCTTGTTCCTCTCTCATTTTCCTGTGTCTCACTCACCTGTTCCTTGGTAGGCGCAGTCCCAGAGGAGTACAACTCCCCATCCACCAGCAGGGCAGCGCCGTCCCAGGCAACCAAATCACGCACGGAGGGGCGGGCATCGGGGGCCATGAGGGCGTGGAAGGACGTGGAAGGGCGCGGAAGGCAGTGCCAGGGCGTGTGCAAGGGCGTGGAAGGGCATGGAAGGGCGCGGAAGGGCGCGGAAGGCAGTGCCAGGGCGTGTGCAAGGGCGTGGAAGGGCATGGAAGGGCGCGGAAGGGCGCGGAAGGCAGTGCCAGGGCGTGTGCAAGGGCGTGGAAGGGCATGGAAGGGCGCGGAAGGGCGCGGAAGGCAGTGCCAGGGCGTGTGCAAGGGCGTGGAAGGCAGGCAGTGCAAGGGCAAGGGCCAAAAGGTACCTTTACCTGTGTCTCCCTCACCTGTTCCTTGGTGGGAGCAGTCCCAGAGGAGTAGAACTCCCCATCCACCAGCAGAGCAGCCCCATCGCACTCCACCAGGTCGCGCACGGAGGGGCGGGCGTCAGGGGCCATGAGGGCGTGGAGGGGCGCGTTGGCGAGCATCATGTGGCACAGCTGCGTCTGCAGCTGCAGGATCTGCTGCTCCCTCTGCTGCGCCGCCAGCTGCAGCTCCTTGGCCAGTTGCAGCGTGAACACCTGGCGTGGTTGGCATTTGGGGGAGGGAGAGGAAGGGGAGTGTGAGCGAGGGGAAGCGGGGTGGGGGGACAGCTGCAGCTCCTTGGCGACCTGGCGGTGGGGGGTAGCGGGGGAAGTAGCGTGAACACCTGGCGGTGTGAAACAGGGAGGTCATGGAACGAGGGGGGGGTATTCAGGTGAAGAATCAACTAGCTCACACTACCCCTCTCTCCCCACCCACCCCATCACACTTGCCCCCCTCTCTCAACCCACCAGCACACAACCCCCCTTTTCGCAACCCACCTGCATGAGGAAGTCGCATGCAGAGCGCACAGGGAAGGGCACAGAGCGCGGAGACGTGTGGTGGCACACAATCATCCCCCACAGCCGCCTCCCCTTCACACACACACCCCTCTTCTCGACCCACCAGCACCACACCCGACCCCTCTCAACCCACCTGCATGAGAAAGTCGCACGCAGAGCGCACAGGGAAGGGCACATAGCGCGGAGACGTGTGGTGGCACACAATCATCCCCCACAGCCGCCTCCCCTTCACCTCATCCAGCGTCGACAACACCCCCCCTCCCCCTCCCCCTGCTCCTCCTCCCCCATCCTCCCCCTCCGCCCCGCCCCCGCCCGCTCTCCCTCCAATCGCCGCCGGCAGAGCCTCCTGCTCCCTGAGCACTATAGACAGGCAGAGGGACGCAGAAATGCACATGTTCTGCATGTACTGGGCGTGGCACCCATGCACCGCCCGCAGCGTCGACGTGGACAGGCTCACCGGCTGCTTCAGAAACCCCCTCTCCTGCACCACCTTCACTGGCTTCGATTTCGCATCGCAGATCATGCGGATCCGATTCTTCAAGAATAAAATCCGGGACGCCTTGGGAATGTCTGTGGAGGGGTAGTGTAGCCCGAGGTAGGATTCTAGGGGGCGTTTCCGGTCCTCTGCAATCACCTCCCCGTGTTCGTCCTCGTGGAATTTATACGCCATGACTCTATCGTATCCTGTGAGCTGCCGAATCTCCTCTGCCAGCGCCTGGAAGAGTAAATCGAGGCTGCTTCCAGAGGGGATGGCTTGCAGGCGTGAGACAGCGTGTGTGGCGAGCTTGTGGGAGTGCAGCGCACCCGCACCGTTCACAGCGGGGTCGGAGGGAAGAATCGGCTCTAGGTCAATGAGAATGGTGCCGCGCTTGACCTTGCCGGTAGCAGCAGGGGCGCTGCTTTCCCCGTTGCCGTTCGCAGCAGCACCGGCAGCAGCAGCAGCGGCGGTGGAGGGGGGGGAGGAGGAGTGAGTTTGCCGGTGCAGGATGGCGTAGAAGGGGCGGCAGGAGAGGGAGGACTGCACGAGCACGGGGTTCATGAGAGCCATGTCCCGCGCCCCCATCGCCTTCTCCAGCGCTGTTACGCTCTCAGGGGTGAAGAGAATGCGTGCGTCCGACCCCAGGCCTGCGCGTTGGGAAGGGTAGGGGGTGAGTGCGGGTGTGGGTGGGAGTGGGTGTGGGAGTGGGTCAGTTTTGACTCAAAAATCACCACCTGCAGCAGCAGCAGCAGCAGCAGCAGCAGCAGCAGCAGCAGCAGCAGCAGCAGCAGCAGCGGCGGCGGCAGGAGAGGGAGGACTGCACGAGCACGGGGTTCATGAGCGCCATGTCCCGCGCCCCCATCGCCTTCTCCAGCGCCGTTACACTTTCGGGAGTGAAGAGAATGCACGCGTCCGACCCCAGGCCTGTGTTTGGGAAGGGAGAGAGAGGAGGGAGGATTGGGTGGTGGTTTCTGTCGCCCCCATCGCCTTCTCCAGCGCCGTCACGCTCTCGGGGGTGAAGAGAATGCGCGCATCCGACCCCAGGCCTGTGTTTGGGAAGGGAGAGAGAGGAGGGAGGATTGGATGGTGGTGTCTGTCGCCCCCATCGCCTTCTCCAGCGCCGTCACGCTCTCGGGGGTGAAGAGAATGCGCGCATCCGACCCCAGGCCTGTGTTTGGGAAGGGAGAGAGAGGAGGGAGGATTGGATGGTGGTGTCTGTCGCCCCCATCGCCTTCTCCAGCGCCGTCACGCTCTCGGGGGTGAAGAGAATGCGCGCATCCGACCCCAGGCCTGTGTTTAGGAAGGGAGAGAGAGGAGGGAGGATTGGATGGTGGTGTCTGTCGCCCCCATCGCCTTCTCCAGCGCCGTTACACTCTCGGGGGTGAACAGGATGCGTGCATCCGACCCCGGCCTGCACATTGGGAAGGGTAGGGGGTGAGTGCGGGTGGGAGCGGGTGTGGGAGTGGGTCAGTTTTGACTCAAAAATCACCACCTGCACCAGCAGTAGAAGGGGCGGCAGGAGAGGGAGGACTGCACGAGCACCGGGTTCATGAGCGCCATGTCCCGCGCCCCCATCGCCTTCTCCAGCGCTGTTACACTCTCAGGGGTGAAGAGAATGCGCGCGTCCGAACCCAGGCCTGCTCGTTGGGAAGGGTAGGGGGTGAGTGCGGGTGTGGGTGGGAGTGGGTGTGGGAGTGGGTCAGTTTTGACTCAAAACCACCTGCACCAGCAGCAGCAGCAGCGGCAGGAGAGGGAGGACTGCACGAGCACGGGGTTCATGAGCGCCATGTCCCGCGCCCCCATCGCCTTCTCCAGCGCTGTTATACTTTCAGGGGTGAACAGGATGCGCGCGTCCGACCCCAGGCCTGTGTGAGTTGGGAAGGGCAGGGGGTGCAGTGCAGGGGCAGGAGTGGGCAAGGGTGCAGGTGTGGGTGTAAGGGTGGGTGCGTCTCTGCTCCTGCCACCGCTTTCTCCAACGCCGTCACACTCTCGGGGGTGAACAACACGCGCGCGTCCGACCTCAGGCCTGGGGGGGGGAGGAGGGGGGATGTGTGAGGAGGGGGTGAGGAGGGGGTTGTGGGGGCGGGTGCAGGCATGAGGGTGTGAGGCTTAACGCTCTCCGGGGTGAAGAGAATGCGCGTGTCTGACCCCAGGCCTGCGCAGGGGGAAGGAGCAGCGGGTTCTGGATGGATGCAAGCGTCCCTCTTACACTCTCAGGAACATGCCAGACACCATAACCCCAGCCAGCCAACCTGATTCCGCCACTGCCACACCCACCCAGAGCCTGCAGAGCAGCCATGTCAGCAGACGTGCGCGGCGATCTCCTCGCCTGCCGATCCCCTTCCCTCCATCACATCCCCCAGAAGCCCCCTTCCCCTACAGAAGCCAGCAACAAAACCCAGACACACCCACCTAGAGCCTGCAGAGCAGCCATGTCAGCAGACGTGCGGGGCGATCTCCTCACGTCATTCCCCTTGATGCTCGCCTTGGGACTGCCGATTCCCGTCCCCTCCGCCGGATCCGCAGTTGCCGACCCCGCGGACGTCCGCGACAGCAGCCGTCGGATGGAGAACGATCGTGCGGAGGAGAAGGCGGGAGAGGAGGAGGAGGTGGGACGAGGGACAGAATTCGAAATGTCAACTTCCCCTGGGAGAGCAGAGCTGGGAGAGGGACCTTCCCCATGCCCAGGAGCAGAAGAGGGGCGTGAGGAGGGAGAGCAAGGCTCATCCAGCGACATACACCCTACTCCCACCCCCACCCCTCCCACTCCTCCCCCCCCTCCGCCTCCGCCGCCTCCGCCGCCTCCCCCTCCCCCTCCCCTGTTAGCCGCGCTGCTGTCGCTGGCTTCCGCGCGGAGGGGGGCGGCAGAGGTTCTGGCGGAGCGGGAGGTGGAGCGCAGGAGCGCGCGGTTGGAGCGGTTGATGGCGCTCATTACCCGGTCCACGAGGAACCCGAGGGGGCCTGTGGGGTAAAGTTGGGGAAGGGGGCGGAGGGGGGGAAGGAACGGGGCGGAGGGGAGGAGGATATGTGAGGGGAATGGAATTGCGGTTGGAGCGGTTGATGGCGCGCATAACCCGGTCCACGAGGAACCCAAGGGGGCCTGGGGGAAAGAAGAGGGGAGGGGGGAGGTTGAGGCCGTGGGGGGATGCGGGGGAAGGGGGAGGGGGTGGTTGGGGGAGGAACATTGAGGGTATAGGCGAGGGCGGAGCTGTTGATTGCGCGCACACGACGGTGCACGGGAAAGCTGAGAGGGCGTGGGAGAGGCGAGGGTGAGTTGGTGGCAATGAGAGAAACAACGCGCATTGGCCAGTTCATGGCAATCTGGAGGAGGGCTCTCATGTGAGCGACTTTTATTCTATTTTCAAAGGAATTTTCTCAGGGACGCCAAGGTTGAGGGAGGCCTGGGAGCAGGGAAAGACGCGGCGGAACCTTTTTTCGACATGGAATTGGCTACTTCTAACGACTGGCTGATTCCGGAAACTGGAGAACTGGTCGAGGGTGGGGTTTGCGGGAGCTTCCGAGACAATGTAAACAGGGTGACATAGGGATACAAGCAGGCTGAACTAGAGTGGCTGACGGTGTGGGGAATACGATGTAAGTAGGGTGAAGAAGGGAGGGCTGAAATCGGAATCAACCGTCCTATGCGGAAAGTAGGATGTCGAGGGAGCTTTGGGATGCCATAACGAAGCCCAGAACCTCTTCCTGTACCTATCGTTCGTACATACGTACGTACGTACGTACCGGCGGAGGTCTTTTGGGGAAGGCAGAGCACTTCCGGTACATTGTCACTGTACGCCAAGAGACGAAACGTCCCTTCTTCCACTAAGAGGACGCAGCCGAACGACTGTATCATTCCACCGCGTTCCATCTTGACCAGGAAGCTGCTCACATCCTTGTCTACCTCCTCCATAGCTGCACCTGCGCCTGAACCTCCTGCCTTAGACTTTCCGTTCTTGCTCTTCTCCTTGCCGGACCCCGACCGTTCCTGTGTCTCCATTTAAAAACTGGCTGCTTGATGAAAGCAAGTGCTAAGAAGCGACAGGAATAAAAGGGTTAATTTGGTCGGTGGCCAGTGATTGTACAGATATATTCCCTGTCTAAGGCTCAATGACCTGTTCGCAGCTGTTATATGAGAAGACGACACCAGGACGTCAGGGTGTGAGACTCCCTAGTTTTATCATTATCACTTGGCGTAATCTACTACCCATGAGTGAAGCTTCACTTTTACAACTATCAATCCGTCGTTCAGTCGTCCAGAAAGGTCAAACTCAGTGAAACCTGTGACGAGCAGAAATGCCTTGGGAGTGTCAAACGCCTGCCTTTTTTAAATTACGGAACTGACTGGACTTCCGACGCATAACTTATGACGCTCGTCGTTGGGTCTACGCCGCCATGGAACGCCATGTTGCAAGGAAAATGTACCGGTGTGACTAGTCCCACCACCGAAAACGCACGCGTACACATGCACGGCCGTGGCTCGTTCAACGCAATTGAAGGCCTTATCAAACGCAAGTACGAACCGCGTTTCACAGTCTTGCAAAAATAGCCTCTTGTCCTAAAACTTGGTCCTAGGACAACATCAAGGCGAGTCTAGGTGACTTTTTGCAATCCAGCCCCAAAAATAGCCTCTTTTGCAGGGCTGCATTTAATCAGAGGTATTACCCATTTGACTCCTCTAAAAACGGGTGTTGCTCTTACTTTCCGACAATGGGTATTTTACATTCCGGCTTCCAGGTCACACGAGGCCGTTGTCGGAATTCTTTTTGTTCGCGACTGAATTCGGATCTGGAGGTTTTAGAAGACGACCCAGTAAAAATCATGTGTGAGTCTGGGTTACCTTACATCTACCCGAAATTTCTCAACCCCCCACCCAGGTCCTTTGTCCTTGGTGCTGCCCAGCCGTCTGTATTAACGGTTTGTGCTGCCCGCCATGGGGAAACTCCACTGCGACGTCAGTAAGAAGGTTCCATAAGAGGCAGAAGCACTTTTGTGCTCAGCTTGCTGTCGTCGTCACGTCAGCCTCGGTATCAGCGAGTGCACAATGAATAAGATTTGAACACGGCATGGTTTGCCGGGAGATGTGCCGTCAACTATACGAGGGTGTACGTAGCTCCAAATCAAGTCGCCTCTTTCCCTGACGCGCCGCGTATCCCCCAACCACAAGCATAATCAAAACCACACCACGAAAACTCCTTGGGGCCAAACCAGAGAGAATCCACACCGAACCTCAGACGAATTAGGCAGCCACTAGGCGGTTTGCGAGGATTTCCTTGTTTCGGGGGGACCAGTAAGCACCAAGCACATTGATAACGGGAACCAAACAGTGACGTGGCTAAAATAGCCATCGTATGAAGACGGTTAGAAAGTCAACTGTATATTTGCACTTCGTTTTATACACAAAGTTTATCACATGGCTTACTGTATCTATAAATTTATGCTATATTTCAACTTCTCAGCAAACTTCTAATTGAATTTGTATAGCATGGGCCTGTTGCCCCCTTAGCAATAGTAATCTGCACTAACCCTGCATACTTGCATTCCAGCAAAACCACCTGTTCATCATTTGAACAAATACAACATGCATACCGATAGCATACAGTTAGGGTACATTCCGCTCTGGACATGTCCCAATCGTACATGTCCCAATCGATTCCACCGCACTGCATCTTATTACACCGAATTACACCCTAGTTTCAAACATTGTCAAAATTTTCGCGTCTCTGGTTTAGTTCGGTTCGGAGCGGTGGAATCGATTGGGACATGTACGATTGGGACATGTCCAGAGCGGAATGTACCCTTAGTCTAGGTACACTTGAAATTGTATGCATGCACCTGTACAAGTGACCCGCGAAGAACTAGCAACCAGGTAAAGTGGCAAGAAAACGACGCTACACAAAATAACCCACAGTTGAAGATAGGTCATTGATAACCTGCACACAAAAAGAAAGCACAGGTACCGTAAGCACAAAAAGAGTGGAAAACTCAAGATGCAAGTTCACACACCCTTGTTATAACTCTAGCTGCTATGCAACTAAAGGCCTCCTAATATGCGTATCATGTACCATCTTACATTAGCTACAACCTCATCCCATACAGACGACCTCTCTCGTTGTCACCCCTCTCCCGTCGCACCTCTCATAACCACCCCCATTACCCACCTCCAGCTGCTCCGCACTGAACGCCTCTTTACGGATGTGCCAGCTGTCAGCGTGCGTGTGCAGCACTTACAACAACTCCCCTAGTCCCCCAAGTCACCCCCACCCACCGCCCTACTCACCTCCAGCTGGTCCGTACTGAAAGCCTCCTTATGAATGTGCCAGCTGTCGGCGTGCGTGCGCAGCCCTTGAACAACCCTTCTTGGACATCCCTTGTCCCACGCTACCCACATCCCTACTCACCTCCAGCTGCTCAGAACTGAACGCCTCTTTATGAATGTGCCAGCTGTCGGCGTGCGTGCGCTTGAAATCACCCAGAGCCTTCCCCACCGCAGGGCCAACTGGGGCAGGCTCTTGTGCCAGGCTGGCGAGTGATAGCAGCACGTCTGGCAACCACCTGCATGATTCCACATGTTTGGGATAACGGAATCACGTATGGGGAGTGGGCATGATCAGTCACACACACTATCACTCAGACAGGTTCTTCTGCCAGGCTGGCAAGTGATAGCAGCACGTATGGTAACCACCTGCATGGGCCCGATGGTGGGGGAAGATCTGCAAAAGGAGTGGAGAGGAGGAGGGAGGGGATATGGAAGCATATCCGTGAGGGATAAGCTCTGTCAGTCTCACACCCATCAGGGCAGGCTCTCCTGCAAGGCTGGTGAGCGATAGCAGCATGTTTAGTAACCCACCTGCATGGCCCGGTGGTGTGTGGAGATGTGCAAGAGGAATGGAGTGGAGAGGAGGAGGGAGGGGATATGGAAGCACATCAGTAAGGGATAAGCTCTGTCAGTCTCACACCCATCAGGGCAGGCTCTCCTGCAAGGCTGGCAAGCGATAACAGCAGCTTTGGTAACCACCAGTACACCCAAGCATGCCATGAATGCCCTGAGTTCCACTGTGGTTTTCACGGCATAACAATCAGGTAAATTCTACGTGCAAGTGTGCACTGGATAATGCATGGTTCCGCTATTGGAGCAGCCCTTACAGGGGAACATCGTATGGTGCTGATCGCACGGCAGCAGCAAGCCCAAGCGCCGATCCATGCATCTTGACCATCCGTGCTGCCGCCTTGGCTGCTGACTCAGCATCCAACGACTTTCCCCCAATGGCCCGTCTGCGGGCGGCTCTCGAGGCTTTGAGCGTGGATGCAGCTGATTGGACGAAGCCCTGGCGAATGGCAGCTGGCCACGTGTCACCCTGAGGGGCTGCCTTGAACAGGCCTGCCAGCGTGGCAGATGCCATGTCACGCACCTATGGCAGGCAGGGGAAGACAAAGAGACGAAGGGGGAGGAGAGGCGAGGAGGAAGGAGGGAATGAAGGAAGGGAAAGAAAATGGGCTGGCAGAAGCAGAAAGCGATGAAGAACTTGGTGACATGGCAAAGTATATGAACGAATGGTGGCAGACAGAGCAGTGGTGACGAGGAGTAGAGTGGGATAGAGGTGGAAGGAAAGGGAAGGGTACGCAGAACCAATTCTGTTCCCGGCAATATAGTGGGCAGGCAGTGATGGCTTGTGACAAGATCACCAGTGTTGGAGTGTGAGGGTTCATCTCGGGTTTACCTCTGGCTATGGGGTCTTGCAGGCAGGCAATGATGGCTTGGCGGAGAGATGAGAGGTCGGCGGGCGAGAGAAGGACATTTGAGTCGACTAAAGAGCTGTCTGTTTACCTCTGACTGCTCGTACTGAAGTGACGACGTATGAGGGTTCATGTCGGTTTACCTCTGGCTGTGGGTCTTGCAGGCAGGTAATGACAGCTTCTCGAAGCGATGAGAGGTCGGATGTCGAGAGAAGGAAGCCATTGCTGCAAAAGGAAGGATGGAGATATGAACATGGTGGTTATTAAAACGGCTTGAAATCTTGCAGACATGTATCCAGGGCTCGACGAAGGGAGGAGTGGCCAACGGGAGAGAGACAGAAGCCATTGTTAGAGAAGAGGGATGGAGATGGGTGGTGGTGGTGGGGGTGGTGATTGCACAGCCAGAAATCCTTGTGAGATGTTTGTGCAAGCATGCGTGTTTTTTTTTTTTTTTTTTGGCTTGTGTGTGTATTTATGTGTGCGTGTGTTCATGCATGCGCGTGTGCATGTGGCATTTCAACTCACCGGAAGACAAAGGACTGGCAGAACGAGAGTGCAGCAGCCCTCTCCTTCCAGTTGCCTGACTGTGCCGCTGCCAGCACCGCCGCTGCTGCTGCTGGCACAGCGGTTGCAGAGAGCGGCAGGTACTTGGTGTAGGCCAGGCATTGCTTGGCGAGGAGAGACAGATCCGTGTTGGGGGGTTCCTGGAGTGAGAGAGGAGGAAAGGTATAGAAGCATTGGGGGGGGGGGGGAGGTTACTGAAAAAGTGGTTGCAGAGAGCGGCAGGTACTTGGTGTAGGCCAGGCATTGCTTGGCGAGGAGTGAGAGATCCGTGTTGGGGGTTTCCTGGAGTGAGGGAGGAGAGAAGCAACAGAAGCATCGGGGGAAGTCGATTCAAAAGGGGTTGCATGCAGGGAGCGGCAGGTACTTGGTGTAGGCCAGGCATTGCTTGGCGAGGAGAGACAGATCCGTGTTGGGGGTTTCCTGGAGTGAGGGAGGAGAGAGTGTACAAGGAGGATACGGAATTGAATTGAAGAAGAGGCTTCAGGGAGTGACAAGTGATTGGTGTAGGCAACGCACTGCTTCGCGAGGGGAAAAGGGGTTTCCTGGGAGAAAGGGAGATGTGGACAAGGGAGGAGCGGCAGAAAGAAAAAAGGGTGGCTGAGAGAGCCCGTGAGCGGAGTGAGCATAATATACAGCATCCAACGGACTAAATCTAGGATGTTGTGCCAAACTGAACAAAGGGAGGGGAGTGAGGAGGCACGTCAATGCTACCTGAATGGAGAGCAGAGATGGCAGCAGGGCGACGATGGTTGGGAGGAATGGAGGGGCGTCTCCCGACTTGACAGCAGACATGAGGAAGTAGAGGATCTGATGGGGTGAATGGGGGTTGGGAGGGGTTAGGAGGAGTTCGGAGGTTGGCTTTTGAGTGAAAAAACGTGGTCACAAGCACATGCATTGTGTTGAAGGAAGAACTTGTGCTTTCATTCTCAAGGAAGAACATGCATGAAATGTTGAAGCACAGATGATTTCATTCTCAACATTTTTTAGGCGCCTCAAAACTCACGGATTCCATTCCCAACACACACTCTTGTCCTCCCCAACAAGCTTTGAGACATCTCAAAACCCAAGCAAATGAAGCACTCAAAGATTGCATCCTCAACACACTCTCCTGTCCTCCCCAACAAGAAAGCGAGCTCCTCTCCTCTACAGGATATGAGAGAATGCGTGAAGTGCCTAAAATCTAATTTAAGCACATGAGTTTCGTTAAGAGAAGCACTCACAGATTCCATGGTCCACACGCTCCTGTCCTCTTCGGATCCCTCCTTCCCTGCTCCACTGCTCCCCTCATCCCCTCCCTCTTTCCTTTCCACCCCTTCCATCTCCCCCTCTTGCTTCGTCGATCCCTCCTTTGTCTCTTTGTGCTGCTCGGTGCTGCTTCCCATGGACTTGATAACTGTAGCAGCTTTGGCAGCTTCTGCCAAGATATGATTCGACAGGCTGGCAGCCACAGAAGAAGAGGCAGAGGAGGAGGAAGAGGACGAGGCGGCGAATCTAGCGCTGAGTGCAGCCAGAAGAGCAGATAACACCTCCCCCAGAAGCTGACGAACCTGCCTTGCACCATGTGTCATCAGCCCCTTAGCTTCATCCGCCAATCTCACAAGGAATCTCAATTCCTCCTCCTCCTCCTCCCCCTGCTCCTTACTCTCAGCAGCCCTTCCCCCCCCTTGCCCAGTCTCCCCTACCGCTACCACCAGCAGCATCAGCCGTTTCGCCTGCTGACCCGAGGCCGCATTTCCCGGAAGCTTCTCCAGAAGCTTCTCCCGCACGAGCCGCTGAATCCTGCCCCTCACCCCCCCTCGTCCATCCCCTCCCCCATCTAGTTCCCCTGCCCCGAATTCCCTGCTACTCACATCCTGTCCCCTCCTAGTCAAGACATATCTCACACATGTGGCCCAATCAGTTTGAGATTCCACGGAGCAATGCAGAATAGCTTGATGGAACAGACTAGCCAGCCATCCAGAAGCAGGAGGATTCAGCGAGGCAGGCGCAGAACCAAGCGGAACCTCTGCTTCCGCCCCGGCCCGAACCTGGGGCTCATCCTCGGTCCGTGCCTCAGGCTCAGGCTCGGCGCAACAGGCGTGCAGCACAGAAGGGTGTGCAGAGGCGAGGAGCCCTGCGATGATCTCTGCTGATGTGCTTTGCGCTCCCCTGTCTGTCTCCTTGGCGACCAGGTCTTGTAGAAATGGGTAAAGGGCGTGTAGGAAGGCTGTCACTGCTGTTGTGCTGGCAGCTGTGCCAGCGGCAGCGCCAGCAATAGCATCGCCAGGAGCGGCAGCGGCTTGCACGAGGAGCTCAAAGAGCATCGCATTCGCCACCACAAAGGAGGAAGACTGGGGACAGGATGGCACCAACCCCCGGGACTTGCTCCTCGGCCAATCCGAGAGCAGCGCTGACATGGCAGACGCTGCCAGCCCCGCGCTGAACAGTGCGGACACTGTAGCCCCGGGATTGTCGCCCCCGCCCGCCCCGTTCCCCCCTCCCCCGAATAGACCTGCTAGCCTTCCCCCGCCGCCCCTGCCCCTCCCCCGCCCGCTTGCCCCTGAGGGGAGGTCCCCGGATTGATGGTCGAGTGAGAGGTGGGAGGTGAGGGAGGAGAGGAAGGAGGGGGAGGCGAGGAGGGAGAGGGGGAGCGGAGGAGGAGTGAGTGAGGTAGTTTGAAAAGGAGGAAGAGGAAGTGGAGAGGGGGAGGGGAGAGAGGGGAGGAAGGGGGGCTGGAGGGAAGGGGGGAGGAGGAGGAGGAGTGCGGAGGTGGCGAGAGGGCGGAGGAGAGGGAGAGGACCAGCAAGGAGACTCAGGTAATGAAGAGGCAGGTATGGGGTCTGCTGTTGTTGAGAGATAGAAGAGGCGACATCAGCAGAAGGTGGAAGAGGAGGAGGAGCAAGAGGAGGAGGTGAGGTGGAGGGGACGGAGGAGGAGAGGAGGGCGAGAAGCGCATTGGCCATGAGAGAGTACCTGGGAGCGAGAAGGGGGAGAGGAGTGAGAGAGGAGGGGGAGAGGGGGGAGGAAGAAGCGAGAGAGGAGGGTTAGAGGAAGGGTGCACGAAGAGGGAAAAGGTGGGGGGTGCAGGGAAGTGGAGAAAATGGTGTTGATGAGCGCGGTAGAGGGTAAAGAAGTGGGAGACAGACAGTGAACAGAATTAACACTCACTATTCCAAAGAGAAGGATAAAAACATGGATGGATAGAGGCCTTTGTAATTGAGAAAGAAAAAGGAAACTTCACCTCCAGTGCGTGGCTGCAGAAGCGACTGCACTGCTATCAGCAGCGGCAGCAGTTGGTGCACTCGCACCACCACTAGCAACAGCGGCGGGAACATTCGATGCAGCAGCAGCAGCAGCAGGAGCAGCAATGGTCCAGAGGAGCGTGAGAGCTCCTTGTGCTTGAGAGGCAACGTCACCATCACCACCACTAGACTCCCACCCGCTCTCCCACCCACTCTCCTCCGCTCCAGCCTGCTCCTCTCCCGTAGCAGGCACTCGGTGGGGCCGAATGGGGTTCACTCCAGCGAAGCGAGACACGAATGCGATGAAGAGCTGGTGGGAGGAGGGATGCACGGGGACGTTTTTGAGAAGAGTTTAGAGGCGCCACAAAGCATGGTGTCATCGCATGGGAGATGCACTGGCATGGCAGCAGCGCAGTTGAGAAAGGGCACCATCACAGGCTACCTATGAACTGCCTGCGATTCTGGTGAGCAGGCTTCGTAAAAAACCATGGGGTTTGCTTAACTAGTATTTCAGATCAGATCTTGAAAAAAAAAAAAAAAAAACAACAACAACAAAAAGAACTTGCCATGGCAAGGCATGTTACAGCCATGCTGTTGGTGTAATTGGTTGAGCCAAGTGACTTCGAAGCTGAAACACTGACCTCACAAACGCTGCTGTGGTCTGCTTACCTGGTTAATGGCGTTAAGAGCCTTGAGAGAGTCAATCGAGTGCCTGAGGTGCATCAGGGGAGAGGGAGAGAGGGGGAGGCGGGGTTGGTTGGAGGAAGCGGATGGGAGGAGATTCGGGGAGCAGGAGTGCAATATAGAACAGAAAGAGAGTGTCTGTGGAGCTATCGAGCCTTGGGAAAGCCGCACAGAAGAAAGAGAAAAACCCTGGAACCAAGAGAAACGGGTAGTGGATGGGATGTGCACGTGGGTGGGAGGAAGCACAAAGTGGTTGCAGTGTGGCTCACGAGGCAAGGAGTGCGGAGGGGAAGGGAGAGAGAGCCAGCAGCAATCACGAGCGGGTAGGGGTTGGTTGGTTGGTTAGATGGAGTGGAATCACAAAGTGTGACTCACGAGGCAAGGAGCGCGGAGAGGAAGGGAGCCAGCGCCCGCCAGTCGTAAGCAGTCTTGCGCATGATTGGTCGGCTCACGAAGACCTGACACGCCCCCACCGCTGCCTCCTCCCTGTCCTCCTTCTCCTCCACTTCCTCTCCCTCCTCTGCGTTTTCCATCTTCTCTTCCTCCTTCCCTGTCGCGCTCTTTTCCTTGTTTCCCTTCTCTATATCACCACTGCTACTGTCACCCCCGTTACTGTCACCACTCTTCCCCATTCTGATCAGCCTTGCCACTGCGCCTGCCTCCCCAGCCACGCACGGCGCCAGCTGGGCCAATGCCACGCCGACAGCTGGCGGGAAGCGCTTGAGAAGGAGTTCCAGGCTGGCACGCGCAACACTGGGCAGGCATAGAAGTCCAATGGAAATAAAAAAAAACGAGGAGGAGGGTTGGGGGTGGCGGGGAATGGGGGTGTTGAAGTGGTTTGGTAGATATCATGTACGGGGGAATGAATGTGAAAGCTGGGGGATTAGGTGCATGAGCTGGATGCTTGTTTTGAGTCGCCTCAAAACACGATTAGGTGCATGCGCTGGATGCTTGTTTTGAGTCGCCTCAAAACACGATTAGGTGCATGAGCCGGACGCTTGTTTTGAGTCGCCTCAAAACACGATTAGGTGCATGAGCCGGACGCTTGTTTTGAGTCGCCTCAAAACACGATTAGGTGCATGAGCCGGACGCTTGTTTTGAGTCGCCTCAAAACACGATTAGGTGCATGAGCCGGACGCTTGTTTTGAGTCGCCTCAAAACACGATTAGGTGCATGAGCCGGACGCTTGTTTTGAGTCGCCTCAAAACACGATTAGGTGCATGAGCCGGACGCTTGTTTTGAGTCGCCTCAAAACACGATTAGGTGCATGAGCCGGACGCTTGTTTTGAGTCGCCTCAAAACACGATTAGGTGCATGAGCCGGACGCTTGTTTTGAGTCGCCTCAAAACACGATTAGGTGCATGAGCCGGACGCTTGTTTTGAGTCGCCTCAAAACACGATTAGGTGCATGAGCCGGACGCTTGTTTTGAGTCGCCTCAAAACACGATTAGGTGCATGAGCCGGACGCTTGTTTTGAGTCGCCTCAAAACACGATTAGGTGCATGAGCCGGACGCTTGTTTTGAGTCGCCTCAAAACACGATTAGGTGCATGAGCCGGACGCTTGTTTTGAGTCGCCTCAAAACACGATTAGGTGCATGAGCCGGACGCTTGTTTTGAGTCGCCTCAAAACACGATTAGGTGCATGAGCCGGACGCTTGTTTTGAGTCGCCTCAAAACACGATTAGGTGCATGAGCCGGACGCTTGTTTTGAGTCGCCTCAAAACACGATTAGGTGCATGAGCCGGACGCTTGTTTTGAGTCGCCTCAAAACACGATTAGGTGCATGAGCTGGATGCTTGTTTTGAGTCGCCTCAAAACACGATTAGGTGCATGAGCCGGACGCTTGTTTTGAGTCGCCTCAAAACACGATTAGGTGCATGAGCCGGACGCTTGTTTTGAGTCGCCTCAAAACACGATTAGGTGCATGAGCCGGACGCTTGTTTTGAGTCGCCTCAAAACACGATTAGGTGCATGAGCTGGACGCTTGTTTTGAGTCGCCTCAAAACACGATTAGGTGCATGAGCCGGACGCTTGTTTTGAGTCGCCTCAAAACACGATTAGGTGCATGAGCCGGACGCTTTCGAGTCGACTCAAAAGCAGACGCACAAACACATGTCCAACTTTAGGCACCTACACATGTCCAACTTACCCTTGCACGGATTCATATCGGTGAACAGACAGCAGCAGCAGGTCCCCCAGCAGCACCTTCACCCAGCATCCCTCCCCTTCCCAAAACATCACCCCCACTTCCCCTCCTCTTCTCCCCCCCCTTCTCCCTCCCCCCCATTCAACTCACCCTTGCACGGATTCATATCGGTGCACGGACAGCAGCAGCAGGTCCCCCAGCAGCACCTTCACCGCCCGAGGGAGGGGCGGCGGGCGGCGCTGGCCGGCGTAGATTGTCTTGAAGTGCGCCTGGGAAGCCCTCCAGAGGAGGTGCTCGTATGCCAGCTCTGCCAGCACCCAGGGCGGCCTGAGGGGGAAGAGGAGGGCGCGGGGGGGGGGGGGAGGGTGGAAGGGACTGAGTTGAGAGGAAAGGAGAGAAGGGAGTCAAGGCAGTTCAGGGGAATGGGAGAAGCCTGAGAGGATCTTTAGAGGAGACGCTCGCATGCCAGCTCCGCCAGCACCCAGGGCGGCCTGAGGGGGGAGGAGGGGGAAGGAAGGGGGAGGAAGAAGGACGGAGACAGAGGGAAGAGTGAGGGAGAAGACATGCAGAAGGAGATCCTTCCCTTCCCACTACCCTACCTACCCTCACCTTCCCCTGTCCGCAAACCCCCTCCTTCCCAAACACACTTGCCAATCCATCCCACCCTCGTCCCCTCTCCCCCTGTCCTCACCTCCGCCTCGTCTCCCCAGCCTGCATCCACGGGGACCCCTTGGGCTCTGACAGCAGCCCCGCCTGCTGCTCCTCTTCCTCACACAAAGTAATCGATCCCATCCCAGCATCCCACCCCTCCACTCTGCCCTCACCTCCTTCTCGTCTCCCCAGCCTGCATCCACGGCGACCCCTTGAGTTCTGACAGCAGCCCTGCCTGCTGCTTCCTTTCCTCACACAACCCTATTCATCCCACCCTCGTCCCCTCGAAACTTTCCCTATATCACTTGCTAGTCACCTCCTCCTCGTCTCCCCAGCCTGCATCCACGGCGACCCCTTGGGCTCTGACAGCAACCCCGCCTGCTGCTACTCGTCCCCACACTACCCGATCCATCCCCTCTCCCGCTATTCTCACCTCAATCTTTTCTCACCTCCTTCTCGTCTCACCAGCCTGCATCCACGGCGACCCCTTGGGCTCTGACAGCAGCCCTGCCTGCTGCTACTCGTCCCCACACTACCCGATCCATCGCACTCTCGTCCCCTCTCCCGCTATTCTCACCTCAATCTTTTCTCACCTCCTTCTCGTCTCACCAGCCTGCATCCACGGCGACCCCTTGGGCTCTGACAGCAGCCCTGCCTGCTGCTACTCGTCCCCACACTACCCGATCCATCGCACTCTCGTCCCCTCTCCCGCTATTCTCACCTCAATCTTTTCTCACCTCCTTCTCGTCTCCCCAGCCTGCATCCACGGCGACCCCTTGGGCTCTGACAGCAGCCCTGCCTGCTGCTACTCGTCCCCACACTACCCGATCCATCGCACTCTCGTCCCCTCTCCCGCTATTCTCACCTCAATCTTTTCTCACCTCCTTCTCGTCTCACCAGCCTGCATCCACGGCGACCCCTTGGGCTCTGACAGCAGCCCTGCCTGCTGCTACTCGTCCCCACACTACCCGATCCATCGCACTCTCGTCCCCTCTCCCGCTATTCTCACCTCAATCTTTTCTCACCTCCTTCTCGTCTCCCCAGCCTGCATCCACGGCGACCCCTTGGGCTCTGACAGCAGCCCTGCCTGCTGCTACTCGTCCCCACACTACCCGATCCATCGCACTCTCGTCCCCTCTCCCGCTATTCTCACCTCAATCTTTTCTCACCTCCTTCTCGTCTCCCCAGCCTGCATCCACGGCGACCCCTTGGGCTCTGACAGCAGCCCTGCCTGCTGCTACTCGTCCCCACACTACCCGATCCATCGCACCCTCGTCCCCTCTCCCGCGTTTCTCACCTCCCACTGTTCTCACCTCCTCCTTGTCTCCCCAGCCTGCATCCATGGCGACCCCTTCGGCTCTGACAGCAGCCCCGCCTGCTGCTTCACCACCCTGAGCCCGTGCAGCGAGTCGGAATACTCGAGTGTGCCTGGTACAAGGCACGAGGACAGCAAGGGGGGAATGACGATATGAACGGGGAGAAGTTACAAACCCCTGGCGGCACATCCAAAAGGGTCTGCTACTGTTATTCTCTCCTGCCCAGCAGCGGCAGACTTTCACCCCCACCCAACGCACACATGCCTCATATACCACCCCTCACTCGCTCCAACCCTTTCCCCCTCATCTGGGTTCAGCAGTAGCCTGTTCACTTCTGCCAGCAGCGTGAGCGTCTGAGTGTCGTCCCTCTGCTTCATGCCACTCACTCTCCATACACAGACAGGCACTGCTCCCACTGGATGTGCCACACCACACCACACCGACCTCCTCCCCTCACCTGGGCCCAGACTTGTGCCAGCAGCGCCAGCATCTGAATGTCATCCCTCTGCCTCACCACCCACCGCAAACAACCACGTGCCTCACAAAAAATCCCCTATACAGACTGCTCCCGATGCGTGTGCCACACCACACCAACCTCCTCCCATCGCCTGGGTTCAACAACAACCCTTCCACTTCTGCCAGCAGCGTCAGCGTCTGAGTGTCATCCCTCTGCCCTATGGGACTCACTCCTTATACACAGTCTGGCACTACCGGTGGGTGTTGCTCACCACATCGACCACCCAGTGACCCTCCCCCCTCACCTGGGCTGAGCAGCAACCCTTCCACTTCAGCCAGCAGCGTGAGCGTCTGAGTGTCGTCCCTCTGCCACACACACACGCCTCACAAACGCCTCCACATGAACCCAGCACGAGCCTAGCGCATATTTCTTCCCCTCACCTGGGTTCAACAACAGCCCTTCCACTTCAGCCAGCAATGTGAGCGTCTGAGTGTCGTCCCTCAGCCACACACACACACGCCTCACAAGAACCACCCCCATGTGAGCCCAGCACATTCCCATGAACCAGCCCAGTGCCCCTCTCCCCTCACCTGGGTTCAACAACAACCCTTCCACTTCTGCCAGCAGTGCCAGCGTCTGTGCTGTGTCGTCCCTCTGCCACACACACACGCCTCACAAACGCCTCCACATGAACCCAGCACGTGCCTAGCGCATATTCCCCTCACCTGGGTTCAGCAGCAGCCCTTCCACTTCAGCCAGCAGTGTGAGCGTCTGAGTGTCATCCCTCTGCCGCCTCACCAGCCACACACACGCCTCATGAAGCTCCCCAGAAGCTTCCTCCCGCATAGTCACATCGCCTATAGTCACACCCGACCGCCCCACCACTGCCAGAGGAGTGCCCAGTGCCGTGGCATCGGTGGGTGCACCGGAGGCTTGGCTCCCGAACCTGGTGGTCAGGTCCGGGAGGTTGGTTCGGGTGCCGGAGAAAACAGCCCAGAGGCGGCGAAGGGCCACTCGCCAGGCGAGTTTGGCTGGAGGGAGGGAGGAGATGTACGAAGGGAGGGAAAGGAAACGACAAGGCATAAGGGGGGTTTTGAGAACTCTAGAGAATTATAAATACTCAACCAAAGGCCCAGAGGCAGCGAAGAGCCACTCGCCAGGCGAGCTTGGCTGGAGGGAGAGAGGAGATGTACAGAGGGAGAGATGGGGGGAAGGGGTCGGGGAGGGGGAAAGAGATACAAGTGTAAAACGAAGAAAGGGGAGGAGGGACAAGGGAGGGAGGAGATGCGTGAAGGGAGGGAGGGAGGGGAAGGGGGGTTAAAAAGTCGTACGATTGAAGAATGAATGGTCTTTCACATCAATTGGGACCGAGCGGAAGTCAGATGAGACGCAGTAACCTTAGACACACATTGCTGATATCTATCAACACAGCTCACCTCCAACCGCTGCTGAGCTGGCCGATGCTGACGTGGCAGGCCTAGATCGCAGCCACCGGATGTCCCTCAACGCGCCGCCCAGGTACTTGCCAATGAGCTGGGTGGCAAGCGTTGTCTCTTCTGTGGATGGCACGTGCCACTGGAGAGCTCCTGCTGCTGCCACTTGTCCTGCTGCCATTGGAGACGCTGCTGCTGCCTCTGCTGCTGCTGCTTGCTTTGAAAACCACCGCTCAACCCCCGGAGCTGATTGTTCCCAGCCCAAGAAACTGTGGATAGACAAGCGGGAGACAACAGGTCATCCACAGATTGACAAGCATGAGAACGAACATCCAAGCAACGGAAGAGAGAAGAATGTCTTACTCAATAGGTGCTTACAAGAACAAGAATCAGCAAGAAGAAACAATCCAGCAGAGCAGAGAGACAGAGAGAGCATGCTCACGAGATGAGACTCAAACTCACGTGTATTCATTCAAGGGGTAATAGAAGATGAGCGCAAACAGGAACTTCTGAAGCAGATCCGCTGCTGCATCCACCACCTGAGGGGAGAAAGGAGGACAGGAGGAAAGGTTAACAGTTGAGAGTAACTTGTGAATTTATCATGAACTCAAAATCCATGCTGCTGCACCGTGCTTTACAGTTAGAAATCTTCAAAACTATAACAGCCTAAATCCTCCCAAGACGCACCTTTTGGGAGGTAGATGAGAAGGCAGCATCGATAAGCGCGATGAGGCGCTCCTTATGTGCTATCAGAGCCGAGCCACTAAAGGGTACAGCGTTGCTGGCGAGATGCATGTGAAAGAGAACTGTGGCCTCCTGAGTTGTCGACAGCTGATTGGCTGGCAGCTGAGCAGGAGCAAGAGGGGAGACGGGAAAGGTGGGGAGGCAGCAATAAGGAGAGGGACGATCACGATGGAGATGGTAGGGAAATGCATGAAAGTCACGTATGAAAGAACAGAGCAGTGAGTAGAGCAGAGCAGTGAATAGAGCAGAGCAGTGAATAGAGCAGAGCAGTGAATAGAGCAGAGCAGTGAATAGAGCAGAGCAGTGAATAGAGCAGAGCAGTGAATAGAGCAGAGCAGTGAATAGAGCAGAGCAGTGAATAGAGCAGAGCAGTGAATAGAGCAGAGCAGTGAATAGAGCAGAGCAGTGAATAGAGCAGAGCAGTGAATAGAGCAGAGCAGTGAATAGAGCAGAGCAGTGAATAGAGCAGAGCAGTGAATAGAGCAGAGCAGTGAATAGAGCAGAGCAGTGAATAGAGCAGAGCAGTGAATAGAGCAGAGCAGTGAATAGTAGATGATTATGGAGATGGTAGGGAAATGCTCCATCATGGAACTTGGGCTGAAATTCACAGAGATGCCAAACAAAAGTACAAGCACGCAACCATTGCTGCTCATTACCACTCTTCACCGCTCGACACCACTCTGCTGTACACTCACTTTCAGCACCTCCCCTGCATCCGCAGCAGCAGCTGGAGACTCAGCAAGCCCCAGGAATGACGTGGCAGGCAGCGATTGGAGGAGAGAAATTGCAGAATCCATGACCCCAGCCAGGATCCGATTGCATGTGGCCTCAGGAGCAGCATATGCCAGCGCTGCCACCACTGTGCCGATCTCCTCCTCACACCCGCGGACGACAGAACTAGATACGTAGCGCTCCACCCTCGATATGATCTGAGGACGCACAAGAGGAGGGGTTTGATTAAAACAGGAGTGGGTGAGGGGCGGAGATGGAGGCCCCAGGAGCAGCATAGGCCAGTGCGGCCACCACTATGTGAAGCTCCTCGTCCCACCCACGGATGACACGGATGACACATGTATCGCTCCAACCTTGAGATGACGTGTTTGGCGGACAGGTCAAAAAGGGGAAAGAGCAAATGGGGAAAGAGCAAATCCATAGTAGAAGACATCAGGAGAAGCATATGCCAGCACTGCCAGCACTCTGCCAATCTCCTCCCCACACCCACGGACGACGGAATTGGAGACATATCGCTCGACTCTTGAGAGCACCTGCAACGCACGCACCAATGGCATTACAGTCGGGTTTGCTTTGAATGGGAGCAAGAGGTGGAAAAAGAGGTGGGCTCAGGCGCAGCATAGGCCAGCGCTGTCACCACTATGCCTATCTCTTCCTCACACCCCCACGGACGACAGGGCTGGAGAAATATCGCTGCACCCTTGATAGCACCAAAGCGGAGTTTAATTTGAGGAGGGACGAGTTCGGAGGGGAGGTCAGAGAGAAAACCAGGAGCAGCATTGGCCAGCGCTGCAACCACTACGGCGCACGAGTGAGAGGAGAGAAAGGAAGCGAGGAGGGGGGACGAATGAGAAACCTGAGGTTTACCTGATTGAGCAGAGGAGGAGAGAGACGGGCGAAGAGAATGCTGACGGTGGAGCGGAAGGTTGACCCCTCTGCTTCCTTCATGAGGAAGGATCTGCGCAAGATGGGGGAGGGGAGGGGAAGGGAGGGGAGACGCAAGGGAAACAAAGGGATGCAAGGAGAGGGCTGTGGGTGGGCGGAATGCTGATGGGTGGAGCGAAAGGTTGACCCCTCTGCCTCTTTCATAAGAATCTTCCTGTCACCTCTGATGTTCGACAAGTGACCCTGGAGTCCACGGAACGGATGGTTACACACGAGAGGAATACAGTGACACCATAACTTCTCACTTCTCAGTGCCTGCTGCAGCGCTCGCCACAGTAGCAGTAAGAGCAGCACGGCGAAGAGGGAGCAGCACTCTCCAAGTGAGAGAAGGGGAAGTCGAGGAGGGAAAGGGTTGAATCCTGATTTCCACAACTTCTCACCTCTCAGTGCCTGCTGCAGCGCTCGCCACAGTAACAGTGGGAGCAGCACTCTCCAAGTGAGAGAAGAGGGAGAAGAGGCGCGAGAGAAAGTCCTCCAGCCACGTGGACCAATCAATGGAGAGCGCGAAAGGGCTTTCTTCGTCCCCTATTGGACCAATCTGAGGGGCAGCAGAGACACGCACGGGAAAGATGAAAGAGGAGAGGGAAGCGGGTGGCATGAGAAAGGGAAATATAGTTTTTTTTTTTTCAATAAAGCACAACTATCAGTTCATGAGGTAAGATATCAGACACATGTTAAAAAAATATCTAAATACGCGAGACATCCCAAGATATGCACATCCCAATATACATCTGGAGGAGAAGACAGAGAGGTATAGGTGCAGGGTTGCGGGCGTCTTGGGCAGGTCATTGGCATCAATCCCAGAAAAGCCTTGAGACGACTCAAGAAACATCCCAGCATACAAACAGCCCAGGATACGTACAGAAGAGAAGACAGAGAGGTATAGGTGCAGCGTGGCCAGCGTCTTGGGAGGGTCATTAGCATCAATCCCAGGAAGCGTCGCCACCAGCGCCTCAGACACCACCTCCCTCGCCCGCCCGATGATCTCCTGCCACATTCCCATGCCACCACCCTCCCCAGCCCCCCCCACAGCATCTGATCCATCCACGTCCATAGAGTCAAGGGTAACGTCTTGGTGTGAGGGGGTTTGGGCAGCAGCGAGCAGCAAGGGGCGGACGGAGAGCGCGAGGGTGGAGAGGGCGGACTCCAGCTGATGTGTGGCCGTGACCTGACGGCGGGTGGGGGGAAGAGGACAGATGGTGAGGGTGGCGAGGGCGGCAGACTCGAGCTAGTGTGCGGCCATGTGACCAGATGGCGTGTGAAAAACGCCATTAGGAGGAGTGGAGAGTATGAGGCGAGATTAACAAAGAAGTACGGAGAAGTACAGAGAGAGAGGTACAGAGAGGTACAAAGAGGCACACAGAGGTACAGAGGGGTACAGAGAGGTACATACAGGCATTAGGGAAATACTACTCACAGTGGTTAACGCCCCCTGGAAGCTCTCCAGGACCACTGGAAGAGTGACACGTGGCGCCAGGTAGGACAGTGAGGCAGCCACGCGGGAGGCGACAGCAGAGAGGGTGGGGCTCTTGCTGAAGAGGGCGCGATTGTGGATGAGTCGGGTGAGGAGGCGGATGAAAGCAGTGGTCGTGGCAGGGGAAAGGGCGGACGGGGCACCCGAGGAGGGGTACCTGCCAACCGACCGAAGGAGCAGAGGGAGGGAGATAATGGCAGAGGGTGGAGCTCTTGCTGAAGAGGGCGCGGTTGTGGATGAGGCGGGTGAGCAGACGGATGAAGGCTGCAATGGTGGCACCATGGAAGGTGGACCAGAGGGGTGCCAAGGCAAGGGAACCACAGGGAGAAAATAACACCCTTATTCCACACTCACTGAACTCACTCACACACCTGTCACTCCACACACAATCTTTTAACGCACTCACCTGTCGCCATGAATTTTCTTCTCTGCAGCAATTCTTTTCATAAGATGGTATGTAGCCGAGTGAATCATCTTCTCCAGCAGCCCCGTCCATTCTCCACCGTTGGATGGGTGAAAGAACTGCTCCAGATCGTTCGATAGCTTATCAAACAACCGCAGCACCGACACCGCCCCTCCCTGCACTTCCAAGGCTCGGTCCGAGCCTGAAACAGGAGGTTCGGCATCCGAACCACGGGCGGCAGGTTCGGGGTTTGCCAGCAGCCAGACGACAAGCTTGGCGCCAGCTACGGCCCGAACCACCTGCTGCTGGTGCGGAACTCTGCGCTGCTGCCACCTGTCAAGCAGTGATAGGAAGACACGCGCGCATGCTGGAGAAACAGGGCGCTCAAGCTGCGCTGACGTGGCAGACGGGGATTGGCCAATGGGGAGGGAGAAAGACTCGAGAATCTTCTGGAACAGAAACGGAAGGTGAGGGGTCCAGAGGGAGAGGAGGGACGCGGGAGAGGAGGTAGAGGAGGAGGTGGTTTGGTGCTGGTGGCGTAGTTGCTGGTGTTTAGCTAAGCGTGCGAGGAGAGAGATCCACTGCGCGTCCCAGAAGGTGCAGTGTGGAATGGAGGACCACAGTGATAGCCACTCCGGCACCCAGACACTGCAGCACGGAGAAACAGTAAAACAAGAACAGAGGGAGAAAAAAGAACGAAAATAAGCAACGGAGTAACAAAGGAGTGTGAAAGAAAGAAGAAGAAGAAGAAGAAGAAGAAGAAAAAAAGGCTATTCATCTGCCTCACACACTGCACTGCAATGCCACACCCCTAAGCCTCACCTCCATTCAGCAGAAACATCTTCCTCGTGTGGTGCCACGTGGCGGCACGTGGTTGGCAGCAGCAGATTCAGCAGAGCCGCCGCCTCCAGAGCATCATTGCTGCTGACGTCAGCGAACTGTGGCCTGAGCGGGGAAGAGAGGCGGGCGGAAGGGGAAGCGGGAAGGGAACAAAGGGGGGTGTGGGGGAGGGAGGAGAGGACATGGAAGGTGGAATTGGAAGGGGACGCGGGGGTGGGAGAAGGGGGGTTGTTATACATGTGGGTGGGAGGCAGACATGCAATACATGGCAACACAATCGCAGATGATGGTATAATGGTGGTGGGTGCCAATAAAAAGTTACAGAGATTTTCCCTGAAGGTGGTGGTGGTGGGGCACCAAGCATCATTGATTAAAACCGGCTGAAACGTACCTGGAAGCACCTGAAAGCAAGAGAGGCGCACCTGAGGAAGGCCCAGATATCAGCAGCAGAGCCAGGGGGGAAGAACCTTCTCGCCCGCCTGATGAGCTCAGTGATGGCGTTGATGTGAATCTGCAACAGCGCCGCTCCCACGTAGCCAGGCAAGGTGGTGGACCCTCTGTGGGCAACGAACGGGTTGGGGATTCGGGTACAGGGAGGGAGCAGACAGGGGGGAAGAACCGCCTGGTTTGCCTGACCTGATGAGCTCTGCGATAATACTAATGTGAATCTGCAGCAGCGCCGCCCACGTAGCCAGGCAGGGGGGTGGACCCTCTGATGGCAGCAGCACGGGGTGTCAGGGTTTCGGGTACAGGGTTCAAGGATCAAGGTTCAGGGTTCAGGGTTTAATCCCGGTGTACAAAAAACACTCCAGGTCTCTGGGTGCAACAGAATCCGAAAAAAAAAGTCTTTAGACTGCCCGACTTGCTCAGTTACGGTATTCATGTGACTTTAAAGCAGAATGAGCATCATGCATGCAAGATGAGATGCGGGTGATGGGAGGAAGAATGGTGCCAAGGAGAGGAGTATACCATACGGAGCAGGGGGGTGGGGTATAACGTACGGAGCAGAGGGGAGGTGTATAGCGAGGATGGAGTAGAGCGGGCGCCAGGGGATGGAGAGGGAGAGCGAGTAGCGATGCTTGCGAAGGATGCGAGACATGCACTGCGACCAACGGATCTGAAATACAGCCAAAAACGGGAGCGGGTGGAAGGAGAGAAAAAAGGGAGGGACTTTGAGAAGTCTCAAGAGTCATGTATAGTGTGCGCCAAGGGACGGAAAGGAAGAGCGAGCGATGCTTGCGGAGGATGCGAGAGATGCACTGCGACCAACGGATCTGAGGCACAGCCAAAACAAGGGGAGGGGTGGGGTGGGGAAATTAAAAAAACCAGCTGGAAATGTTGCCAGAAAACGAGTTCACGTAAACATAACATTTTGAAGAAGGGTAAGAGTAGGAGAGCCAGACAGAATTGAAGAAGAAGAAGAAGAAGAAGTTCGAAGAGAGAGGGCCTACCTGAATGAAGAGATCTCTAGGGCCGCGGCAGCATGTGATAATATCGAGGGCGGTCTCTGACACGAGCTCCAGGTCAGCAACCTCCAGACGAGACTTGGATGCCACGAAACTGGAATGATTGGAGACAACAGGAGACGGACCAAAAGGGTAGATGAGGTGGTATGGAGCATCACCAAAGCAGTTTTGCAGCACACATTAGAATGGCCGAATCTTAAAGCCTGAAAACGCAGCAGATGACTGCTGGAAGAATTCTGTAATGTTTCAGAATGTAATGCTGGCTGCCAGTCCTAGTTCCTGACGACTCAGAATGTGTTAATAGTTGCCGCAATTGCATCGCAGTCTTACGGATTGCTACACCAATTGTCACATATACATCCTAGACTTGGCACTGATTGCCATAACTACCACAATAACGGCGACACACGAGATGCGAGGCTCGTTTGTTGGCACTCTGCGACAGAAATCCCCCAGAAAAACACTTACTAATAACTGCGACCCGTCTGTCCGCCATGACCTTGCTCTTTCCCGCTCATCCTGACTATTACAGCGTGAAATTGAGACAATACCTATTGACGACGGAGACCCATTTCAAAGTCTCTCCCCCATGGCCTTGCTCTTTCCCGCGCTTCCACGCAGCCTGAACCTCCTCGGCGACAGCGTGAAACCTTCCAGGCTCCTCGCTCGCCGCCTGTGCTGCCACGTCAGGCGGCAACCAGCTATTGTTCGGATGGACGTACGAACCCATGACAAATTCGTGATTTTTTTTATTTTTTTTTCGGGAAAGTATCTCGAACTGCTTCAGAGAACTAATCGAAGACGAGAGGTACACGGCGGAGACAGAATCTGTTAGGACCGTGACAAATAGCGGAGTTACGCACTCCAGAAAAAATGCCACCCGCAGATCGTCACAATCAGCCGAATATACTGTTCTAAAAAGCTTGCCTAGAAAGCAATTTTTATTCGAAGCAAAAGCTTGCCTAGAAAGCAATTTTTTTTCGAAGCAAGGCTAGAACAGGCAGACAAATCTGATGCTAAGCTTCGAAACAACCATGTGAAACGGAACCCTCTGATTTACAATCAACAATGTCGATGCATTTGAAAGCAACTGGGCGCTCCCTGAAGAATCTGAAGGCAGATGGAATCTGATGCTCATGAAAGGGAGATGCCATTCCAGTGCCAGGCAGGTTTGAGATGGATTTGGCAGGACGGAAGTGTGGTTAGGGAGCGGAAGCACAGGCTGGGAGGGAAATGAGCAGCTCTCCGTGGCGAGAGTGAGCGACGTGTAACGAGCGGGTAACTCAGCTCGTTGACCAATTGCACCGTGGTTGCGTGTTGGCTTTCTGAGGTCTACGATGATGGTCTCGGATCGTCCATTGATCTGATCTGACGGTGGTAGTGCTGATCATCCATCTGCAATGCACTTCACCGCTGCAAGTGAAGTTGATTTCCACACTCGCCTGCAGAAACAGCACTTCGTCACGCTGACGATAACTTGCGAAGCTGGAACCTCGAGGAAACTGCAATCACCACAGAAACTTCTGCCTGTTTTCGGAGAAAGAATTACCCGCGACAGCCGTCTACGCAGCTGTTGCGTCATCCTGCGACACGCGACGCTGGTTCTGCAGTCGCCGGCGTTATTTTGAAATCGCATCGCAGTAATTGTATCGCGTCGCCATTCGCGAGGTGTTCGAAGCTTTGTTCCGTGCCGCGACTGCACATAACGCACGACACGCCGTTACCAGCACCCCACCCGTTCTAAATGTAATCGATCTAGTAATTCCTAGTAATTCCTGTTCTTAGGTCTTGAAGAATGGTACAGGCCCACATGGTGTCTCAGCATAGCTATCACTAGCGATGTGCTTCTAACAAATGGCGCAGGCGACGCGTTTCGGAGTTTCGACAGAACCAACGCAAAGCTCTAGCTCTTCAGATCCCACAGCCAGAAGCATCGCTATAGACACTCCTGGCCGAGCGGCGGAGGGCCGCGACACGAGAAACACAGGCAATAGCGAGTCAGACGCAGCAGAGAAAGCAGTGGAGAACCCTAGGTTCTCAGATGAACAGACGAGTTCAGTAACTTCGCCCAACACAATTAGGATTGTAGAAGCCGAGGCAGATGGCCTCGAGTCGCTGTCGAAGCCTCTGTCGGACATGATGGCGGCGCTTTCGCTTGTCGTGGAAGGGGAATTGCAGGTGAGGATGCCGTGGCAGGTGAGGATGACGTGGCAGGTGAGGATGACATGGCATGTGAGGATGACGTGGCATGTGAAGATGACGTGGCATGTGAAGATGACGTGGCAGGTGAAAATGACTTGTCATGTTAGGTGGTGTAGAACGTGACTGATGCAAAAAAGTGTAAGTTAGGTCTTACGAGAGTGCGGGTATCGCATGTACAACACCCCAAGCCATGGTATGGCTGAATTATAAACTGAGGGAGTGAATGATGGGATGAGCCAGGCATACACTCTGCCCAATCTTTGCCTCCTCTTTTTTCCCTTGCCTATACTTTCACCCGCTCCCCTCTCCACACTCACTCTCTCTGGCTTCCCCCCTTTATCGCGTCCTATTCCTTTTTGAGGCCCACACCAAACCCCCTGATACCAATGTCTCACTCTTCGAATACCATGCTAATGCTCTGAAGGGGGAACTCATGCTCATGTTCCAGTTCTCTCCCCTCTTTTCACTTCCGCATTCTTCCCCTTTACCCTCTACAGGCGCACACCACCCCCTCAGACCAGCATCTTACTCACGTCAACCTAGACGCATCAGCAGATGCCGAGCGGCTTGCTGAGGCTAGTGTCAATGCCTCCTCTTTCCCCGCCCTACAGGCTCACACCACCCCCTCAGACCAGCATCTTACTCACGTCAACCTAGACGCATCAGCAGATGCCGAGCGGCTTGCTGAGGCTAGTGTCAATGCCTCCTCTTTCCCCGCCCTACAGGCTCACACCACCCCCTCAGACCAGCATCTTACTCACGTCAACCTAGACGCATCAGCAGATGCCGAGCGGCTTGCTGAGGCTAGTGTCAATGCCTCCTCTTTCCCCGCCCTACAGGCTCACACCACCCCCTCAGACCAGCATCTTACTCACGTCAACCTAGACGCATCAGCAGATGCCGAGCGGCTTGCTGAGGCTAGTGTCAATGCCTCCTCTTTCCCCGCCCTACAGGCTCACACCACCCCCTCAGACCAGCATCTTACTCACGTCAACCTAGACGCATCAGCAGATGCCGAGCGGCTTGCTGAGGCTAGTGTCAATGCCTCCTCTTTCCCCGCCCTACAGGCTCACACCACCCCCTCAGACCAGCATCTTACTCACGTCAACCTAGACGCATCAGCAGATGCCGAGCGGCTTGCTGAGGCTAGTGTCAATGCCTCCTCTTTCCCCGCCCTACAGGCTCACACCACCCCCTCAGACCAGCATCTTACTCACGTCAACCTAGACGCATCAGCAGATGCCGAGCGGCTTGCTGAGGCTAGTGTCAATGCCTCCTCTTTCCCCGCCCTACAGGCTCACACCACCCCCTCAGACCAGCATCTTACTCACGTCAACCTAGACGCATCAGCAGATGCCGAGCGGCTTGCTGAGGCTAGTGTCAATGCCTCCTCTTTCCCCGCCCTACAGGCTCACACCACCCCCTCAGACCAGCATCTTACTCACGTCAACCTAGACGCATCAGCAGATGCCGAGCGGCTTGCTGAGGCTAGTGTCAATGCCTCCTCTTTCCCCGCCCTACAGGCTCACACCACCCCCTCAGACCAGCATCTTACTCACGTCAACCTAGACGCATCAGCAGATGCCGAGCGGCTTGCTGAGGCTAGTGTCAATGCCTCCTCTTTCCCCGCCCTACAGGCTCACACCACCCCCTCAGACCAGCATCTTACTCACGTCAACCTAGACGCATCAGCAGATGCCGAGCGGCTTGCTGAGGCTAGTGTCAATGCCTCCTCTTTCCCCGCCCTACAGGCTCACACCACCCCCTCAGACCAGCATCTTACTCACGTCAACCTAGACGCATCAGCAGATGCCGAGCGGCTTGCTGAGGCTAGTGTCAATGCCTCCTCTTTCCCCGCCCTACAGGCTCACACCACCCCCTCAGACCAGCATCTTACTCACGTCAACCTAGACGCATCAGCAGATGCCGAGCGGCTTGCTGAGGCTAGTGTCAATGCCTCCTCTTTCCCCGCCCTACAGGCTCACACCACCCCCTCAGACCAGCATCTTACTCACGTCAACCTAGACGCATCAGCAGATGCCGAGCGGCTTGCTGAGGCTAGTGTCAATGCCTCCTCTTTCCCCGCCCTACAGGCTCACACCACCCCCTCAGACCAGCATCTTACTCACGTCAACCTAGACGCATCAGCAGATGCCGAGCGGCTTGCTGAGGCTAGTGTCAATGCCTCCTCTTTCCCCGCCCTACAGGCTCACACCACCCCCTCAGACCAGCATCTTACTCACGTCAACCTAGACGCATCAGCAGATGCCGAGCGGCTTGCTGAGGCTAGTGTCAATGCCTCCTCTTTCCCCGCCCTACAGGCTCACACCACCCCCTCAGACCAGCATCTTACTCACGTCAACCTAGACGCATCAGCAGATGCCGAGCGGCTTGCTGAGGCTAGTGTCAATGCCTCCTCTTTCCCCGCCCTACAGGCTCACACCACCCCCTCAGACCAGCATCTTACTCACGTCAACCTAGACGCATCAGCAGATGCCGAGCGGCTTGCTGAGGCTAGTGTCAATGCCTCCTCTTTCCCCGCCCTACAGGCTCACACCACCCCCTCAGACCAGCATCTTACTCACGTCAACCTAGACGCATCAGCAGATGCCGAGCGGCTTGCTGAGGCTAGTGCCAATGCCTCCTCTTTCCCCGCCCTACAGGCTCACACCACCCCCTCAGACCAGCATCTTACTCACGTCAACCTAGACGCATCAGCAGATGCCGAGCGGCTTGCTGAGGCTAGTGTCAATGCCTCCTCTTTCCCCGCCCTACAGGCTCACACCACCCCCTCAGACCAGCATCTTACTCACGTCAACCTAGACGCATCAGCAGATGCCGAGCGGCTTGCTGAGGCTAGTGTCAATGCCTCCTCTTTCCCCGCCCTACAGGCTCACACCACCCCCTCAGACCAGCATCTTACTCACGTCAACCTAGACGCATCAGCAGATGCCGAGCGGCTTGCTGAGGCTAGTGTCAATGCCTCCTCTTTCCCCGCCCTACAGGCTCACACCACCCCCTCAGACCAGCATCTTACTCACGTCAACCTAGACGCATCAGCAGATGCCGAGCGGCTTGCTGAGGCTAGTGTCAATGCCTCCTCTTTCCCCGCCCTACAGGCTCACACCACCCCCTCAGACCAGCATCTTACTCACGTCAACCTAGACGCATCAGCAGATGCCGAGCGGCTTGCTGAGGCTAGTGTCAATGCCTCCTCTTTCCCCGCCCTACAGGCTCACACCACCCCCTCAGACCAGCATCTTACTCACGTCAACCTAGACGCATCAGCAGATGCCGAGCGGCTTGCTGAGGCTAGTGTCAATGCCTCCTCTTTCCCCGCCCTACAGGCTCACACCACCCCCTCAGACCAGCATCTTACTCACGTCAACCTAGACGCATCAGCAGATGCCGAGCGGCTTGCTGAGGCTAGTGTCAATGCCTCCTCTTTCCCCGCCCTACAGGCTCACACCACCCCCTCAGACCAGCATCTTACTCACGTCAACCTAGACGCATCAGCAGATGCCGAGCGGCTTGCTGAGGCTAGTGTCAATGCCTCCTCTTTCCCCGCCCTACAGGCTCACACCACCCCCTCAGACCAGCATCTTACTCACGTCAACCTAGACGCATCAGCAGATGCCGAGCGGCTTGCTGAGGCTAGTGTCAATGCCTCCTCTTTCCCCGCCCTACAGGCTCACACCACCCCCTCAGACCAGCATCTTACTCACGTCAACCTAGACGCATCAGCAGATGCCGAGCGGCTTGCTGAGGCTAGTGTCAATGCCTCCTCTTTCCCCGCCCTACAGGCTCACACCACCCCCTCAGACCAGCATCTTACTCACGTCAACCTAGACGCATCAGCAGATGCCGAGCGGCTTGCTGAGGCTAGTGTCAATGCCTCCTCTTTCCCCGCCCTACAGGCTCACACCACCCCCTCAGACCAGCATCTTACTCACGTCAACCTAGACGCATCAGCAGATGCCGAGCGGCTTGCTGAGGCTAGTGTCAATGCCTCCTCTTTCCCCGCCCTACAGGCTCACACCACCCCCTCAGACCAGCATCTTACTCACGTCAACCTAGACGCATCAGCAGATGCCGAGCGGCTTGCTGAGGCTAGTGTCAATGCCTCCTCTTTCCCCGCCCTACAGGCTCACACCACCCCCTCAGACCAGCATCTTACTCACGTCAACCTAGACGCATCAGCAGATGCCGAGCGGCTTGCTGAGGCTAGTGTCAATGCCTCCTCTTTCCCCGCCCTACAGGCTCATACCACCCCCTCAGACCAGCATCTTACTCACGTCAACCTAGACGCATCAGCAGATGCCGAGCGGCTTGCTGAGGCTAGTGTCAATGCCTCCTCTTTCCCCGCCCTACAGGCTCACACCACCCCCTCAGACCAGCATCTTACTCACGTCAACCTAGACGCATCAGCAGATGCCGAGCGGCTTGCTGAGGCTAGTGTCAATGCCTCCTCTTTCCCCGCCCTACAGGCGCACACCACCCCCTCATACCAGCGCCTCACTCACCTAAACCTGGAAGCATCAGCAGATGCGGAGCGGCTCGCTGACCTGACGGTCGGCGTGGGCGTGTTTGTGCGCTGCCAGCTGGCGGCGCGGGCGGCAACGCTTCGGCAGCTAGTGGCGGAGGCGGAGGAGGCGGAGCGGCAGCTTGCTGACCTGGAAGGGGTGGTGGTTGAGCTGGATAGATTCACTGGGAAGCTGGAAAGAGCCGTGGCAAAAGCCCTTAGGGAGGGGGTGTGATAGTAGCAAAGGGGGGGGATGGTGACCTGGAAGGGGTGGTTGTTGAGCGGGATATATTCACCGGGAAGCTGGAACGAGCTGTGCCGAAAGCCATTAGAGAGGGGGTGTGATTGTAACGAAGGACTGGGGGGATGGGATGTGATTATAGTAACAGTGTAGCAGCTGCTGTACAGTGGTTGTTGAGCTGGATAGATTCAATGGGAAGCTGGAACGGGCTGTGGCGAAGGCCATTAGGGACGGGGTGTGATTGTAATGAAGGAAGGGGTGTTGGGGGCAGCGGTGATAGGATGTGATGTGATTATAGTTAACAGTGTAACAGCTGCTGGAAGGAGTGGTTGTTGAGCTGGATAGACTCACTGGGAAGCTTGAGAGCTGTGGCGATGGGCATACAAGAGGGAGTGTGATTGTAAAGAAGGGGCAACCACCGCTAGTTCCAGAATAAACTACCGTATGGTACAACCAGATTTTTCACTCTACGGCTCTGACAGACCGACACTCTGAGCCTACCTGTCAAAAGGACCCTATCCCATGATTAGGAATCGAGCTAATGTTCCTGTCTCCATATATTCCATATAATTTACACAGTGCCATACACTCCTGCACTTGCTGTAGTCTAACAATCATCTCATCTACCTCTGGCAAGATCAGAGGTAGCCCTTTTCCACTTCTGCACCGCTTTGTACACCTCCCGCTGCCACAGTCAACATCAGGGCTACTTTTTTAGGAAAAGTGGTTTGATGGAGAGGACAAGGCGTACACCACACCAGTCACACCTCGTCCCCATCAACCGTAGTGCTTACCAACTCCTGCAACAAATTCATAGATTCCTCTTGCGCAGCAGCCACCAGGTCCCACTCCATCCACTCGTCTCGGTACGACCCCGGGACGACTATCCTTAACAGCCTCAGAATTCAACTGCAGTGCGTGGCAACTCCTGTAACAAGCCCTCAAACTCCGCATGAGCAGCAGCCACTAGGTCCCACTCCACCCACTCGTCTCGATACGACCCCGGGAAGGCTCTCTGCTGCAGTCACCTCTTCATACGTCCCACACCACTACAGGTCACACCTCGTCCCCACCACATCTAGTGCTCGCTCCTTCCCCCAACAAGCCCTCAAACTCCGCATGTGCAGCAGCCACCAAGTCCCACTCCACCCACTCGTCTCGGTACGACCCCGGGAAGGCTCTCATTAGCCGCCTCACTGCTTGATACTGCACTCTAGTTCCTGCAATAAGCCCTCAAAGTCCTCCTGTGCAGCAGCCACCAGGCCCCACTCCATCCACTCATCCCGGTACGACCCTGGAAAGGCCTTCTTCAGCCGCCTCACCGCTTCGTACATCTCCCTCCGCCATGCTGGCAGGGGGGTGCCCCCACAGTCTGTGCTGAGGCTGTCCATGTAGGGGAACTGGAGCGGTGGGGTGCGGTGGGATGTGGTGGGATGCAGTGCAGTGGAGTGTGGTGGGATGTGGTGAATGCACATTGAAAGGGGAACACACGGAAATAGCAATAAGTTAGCCCGCCACCACACAGGCAGGGGCGGGCCTCCACAGTCCGTGCTGAGGCTGTCCATGTAGGGGAACTGGTGCGGTGGTGAGCGGTGGGGTGGGATGGGGCATGGTGGGATGCACACATAAAGAGCCCGGGAAGGCCTTCTTCAGCCGCCGCACTGCTTCGTACATCTGCTTGCATGCTGGCAGGGGTGAACCTCCGTAGTCTGTGTCGCACTCCCCACCACCCCCCCCCCTCTTACCTGCTCCATATCCAGCCTGTGGGCGTATCTCTCAGGCACGCCCTGCTCCTCCATGCGCGCATACAGACGACGCACGCCGCCCTCCATATCGGATCTGGGCGGCACGGGCAGCTGGCTGGACAGCAGCTGCGCCACCCACCGCGCCTGCAGCTGACACAGCGGGAAGGGGACGACCTGGGGGGGACGCGGAGAGAAAAGGCATGTGGGGGAGTTAATTGGGTGGATCAAGAGAATTGGGGGGCCTTGGAGTGGGGAGAAGTAGAGGCCTGGGAGAAAAGCAGCTGGCCGGACAGCAGCTGCGCTACCCACCGCGCCTGCAGCTGACACAGCGGAAAGGGGACGACCTGGGGGATGGGAAGGGCAGGTGGGTGGGGGTTGGGGCGGTTGGAGGATTGGGAGCAGTGATATAACTGGAAATTGGGGCAAGTTTGTGTTGGCTTGACAGCAGCTGCGCCACCCATTGCGCCTGCAGCTGACACAGCGGAAAGGGGACGACCTGGGGGGGGGGGAGGGGGGGAAGAGGGACAGATGGCAACGGGAGAAGGGAAGGGGAAGGTGAAACAGGAACGCTGGAAGGAGGAGGGCTGCCGGGTATGAGTTGCTGGCCGGAGAGCAGTTGAGCTACCCAACGCGCCTGCAGCTGACGTGGCACAGCGGGAAGGGAACGACCTAGGAGGGGGGGGGGTGGGGGGGGGTGGGAAGAGGGACAGATGGTAACGGGAGCAGGGAAGGGGAAGGTGAAACAGGAACGCAGAAAGGAGGAGGGCTGCCGGGTATGAGTTGCTGGCCGGAGAGCAGTTGAGCTACCCACCGCGCCTGCAGCTGACGTGGCACAGCGGGAAGGGAACGACCTAGGAGGGGGGGGGGTGGGGGGGGTGGGAAGAGGGACAGATGGTAACGGGAGCAGGGAAGGGGAAGGTGAGACAGGAACGCAGGAAGGAGGAGGGCTGCCGGGTATGAGTTGCTGGCCGGAGAGCAGTTGAGCTACCCACCGCGCCTGCAGCTGACGTGGCACAGCGGGAAGGGAGCGACCTGGTGAAAGGGAGGGAGGGGTACGCTAGAAACTGGAACACCTATAAAGGAGGAGGGCTGCCGGGTATGAGTTGCTGGCCGGACAGCAGTTGAGCTACCCAGCACGCCTGCAGCTGGCATGGCACAGCGGGAAGGGACCGACCTGGGGAGGGAGGGAGGGGTAAAGGGGCAGATGAAGGGAAGTGAGGGAGCAAATGTTCGTCATATCAACCAATGTTACCCTGTGTCGCCTAATAATTCAAGAGATAGGATCGATTTTGAGACGCTTCAAAAAACCTAAGAGGAAAAACCATGCGAGAGATATAGAGGGGGGAAGGGAGATTTACCTTCCAGGGGAGGCCGATGAAGGAGAGGGAGGGGGCGAGCGCTGGAGGGAGGAGGTGGCGGAACAGGGGAGTCACACGACCGTTATCGACGGAGAGGAGAGAAGGGGGGAAGGGGGATGACTTTAGAAGAAGCGACTCATAGATGAGATTTACCTTCCAGGGGAGGCCGATGAAGGAGAGTGAAGGGGCGAGTGCAGGAGGGAGGACGTGTCGGAACAGGGGAGTTACACGACCGTTGTGACTTTTGAATTGACTCAAAAGATATTTACCTTCCAGGGCAAGCCGATAAAGGAGAGCGAGGGGCCGAATGCGGGAGGGAGCACGTGGCGGAACAGAGGAGTCACACGGCCGGTATCCACGGAGAGGAGGGAGGTGGGGAGGGCGAGGAAGGGGAAGGAGTAGTGGTAGCTGCGTTGGGGGGGGGGGGGGGGGGGGGGGGGGGGAGGGGATGCCGGAACAGGGGGGGGGATGAGGGATAGATGGAGAGAATGAGGAAACAGAGGGGGCGAAAGAACGGGAAGGATTGGGAGAAAACTGCGTATGACGCACCTCAAAACACCTAACTGCGCATATGGTGGGAAAAACGAGTCCATATGTCATCAGCACAGGCGCAGTCACATACCCGGTACAGTGCATGATGACGTCAGCATGGCATGTGAACCCATCTTCAAACTCCACTGTACCATCAGGATTGGCTTGCTTGATCTACACTCAACAATGGCACGGAGGGAGGTGGGGAAACGGAGGGGGTGGGGGAGGGATCGTTCAGGCGCTTAAGAAAATCCTGAGGAAAAACGATATGCGGTGAGAGAGGAAAAAAAAAACAAAAACAAAACAAAACAAAACTGCCCTTTCAAAGAACCCTTTATGAAAGAAAGGTAGAGAGGGTTTCGGGGTTGGGTACTAACCATGGGGTGCTGCTGCACTGTGCCTTTGAGATCCTCGAAATACCCCGCCTCTATTGCTGGCCACCGTGGCACGAGAGGTGCACAAGAGAGCAGGTAAAGCAGAGGAGGCAAAGGGAGAGCAGCTAAGGGAGAGAGCAGGGTTATCCTTAGCAATAAAGCACCTTGGGTTGGGCACTACTGACCATGGGATGCTGCTGCACTCTGCCTCTGAGATCCTCGAAATACCCCGCCTCTATTTCCCCGGTGACTGCAACAGCAGCAACAGCAGCAGCAGCACCACCAGCTAAGGGCGAGGGAAGCTAAGGGGGAGAGCAGCTAAGGGGGAGAGCAGGGTGCGGGGTGGGCACTAACCATGGGGTGCTGCTGCACTCTGCCTCTGAGATCCTCGAAATACCCCGTCTCTATTGCTCCCGTGGTCGCACCAGTAGCAACTCCAGCACCATTTTTCGCACCAGTACCACCAGTGGCAGCAGCAGCAGGGGGGGAGCGCCAGCCCCGGGCGCAGATGTGCACCTCTCGTGCCACTGCCGCCACCTCCCTCGCTATGTCCTGCCCACTCGCCTCCGCTCCCACCACCACCACCACCTGCGATGGCAAGGGATGGCATGGCATGGGATGGGATGGGAAGGGATGGGGAAACATGCAAGTGACACTCTGGGATTCAGGATAAAAGGCATACTCTGCCCACTCGCCTCCGCCCCCACCACCACCAATCCCTTCCCACAGAAAATATAAGCTGCTGAGGGAACTTATAAGAGCACCAGCACCACCACCACCTAGAATGTATGGGGGAAACACACGCGAAACCGCCTGACAATTGAAATTTTGGTGTGCATTTTGAGGCACCTCAATGCACTGTTGGCACATCTGCCATCCATCTGACTTCCAAATACGCCCACCACCACCATAACCAGCACCACCTTACCTTGTCTGCAATACCCCCCCGGTTACCTTGCCCACAAACCCCTCTCGCCTCACCTGGCCTGCAAACCCCTCTGGGTGGCGGTAGTTATGGCTGTGCATGTGAATGCCTGGCCACGTGTCCACACCTGATTGGTTGGGATACAGAAATCAGGGACGAAAAGGATGGGGGAGGTGCGAGGGGTTGAGATTTACAGCCCACCCTTTCTAATCAGGGGAATATTTTATAAACTTTTCCTCACTCAGGGAATATAGCAGGCCTGGTTCATGCGTAACTAGCCAACTGACTGTCTCAACCACCCACTCTCACACTCACTCACTCACTCACTCAACACCCACCCGATAACCCAGCTGTCCCGCTTACAGTCTCACCCACCCGCTATAGTTGCAATCTTGGGCTGTGAGTAGTGACCGTTACACACCAGCAACGCATCAAACTCCCTCTCCTCCACTCCCCCTTCCTCCCTCACTTCTATCCTCTTCCCATCCCCAAGCCCTGCTGCTGCACCTCCCGAATCTCCCTCAGAAGCAGACGTAGGCCAAACTAATTTCTCCTTCCGAGTCCCTAAACTCCCTCTATCGGTACTAATACTCCTATGCGGTCTAGACCGAGCAATCTTAAGACGCCATCTAACAACAGGAGCCTCAGCCCCTTCCGCGGTCGTCTCTAGGAGATCCCAATTCTCCCCCTCCCCATGCGCATTCCCCACGTTCCCCTCTTTCCCCGCTTCCGCTTGGCTGGTTTCCGCTTCCGCTCCATTCCCCACCTTTGCGACGCCTCCCCCTTTCCTTCCGCCTTCCCCGCTTTCTTCAGCGGCTGCTTGGCGGGAAATCACAGGGACGGCCGAGATCACTCTACAGTGGAGCTCCACGCGGTTCGAGATTTTGAATGTATCCGCGTACCGACGGAGATATCGCAGCACCTCCCTGTGCGACGGAAACCGTCGCAGATCAGCATCGTCCCGTCGCGAATCCGCGCTAGTTCCGTCGCGCGGGTCCACGTCAGCATCGGGATGATCGCCAGGTAAAGGCGCGGAGAAGGGAAAGTCCAGATAACCCATTAATTCTCGGGGTAAATTCGTCCTTAGCGACGCGTACATGCTGCTATGGACCTGTTGCCGGTTCTGGTCCAACCCTAGCAGATCCTCCGTTTCTATCCGCTCGTCATAAGCCCACACGCCGCCTATTTCACCCCCCGCTTCAATCACAGTCACGACATGCCCTTCTCGCATCAGCTCGCGCGCAGCGGCCAGTCCCGCGGCGCCTGCGCCGATCACGGCGACGTCAAGCCGCCGATGCCGGGACGACGAGTCGTCCGTCGGTTGAGTCGATTCGCGTCTTGGCGGTGTGTTCTCTGGCGACACTGCTGAAGCCATTCCGACTATCGCTCTTCGGTTCGGCGAGTTATGTGACGGATTAACCTTATCGGGGAAGACTGAGACGAGGATGGACGGCGTTCGGGTACGGAGTTCGAGAGGTCTGTCCAGGAAACGCGGAGAGCGAAGGTTCTGAGGGGAATGTCGAGAGGGATCATGAAGTGTGGAAAAACGCGCGCCGCGACCTGGGAGGACCCTGCTCGTGGGTCTCCGGGCGAGGCTACTACGAGAGATATTATACGCGGCGGCCTGCACGATGAGAGGTGCGGCAAGCGCGTGAGACGGCATGTGGGCTTTAGTTCACCTTACCGCGTCGCGTTACGAATAGAAATGCGAAAAAGCGGACAACTGAGAGGCGCACCGATGTTTATTCCAATATCAGAGTGGGTTGATACGGAGTACGGTGCGAAACAATACGGTCTCAAACGGTAGAGAAGTGTTCGTTCTAGTACCTGCTCAGAGCGGGGTAACCTCTAGGTGCGCTGCATCTGACACCACGGCGTCCCGCCAAATCTGATGCGCTCGTGTTGAAAAAATTGTAGTGCGGCAAGGGATGTGTCATCATCCTTGTGGCTGGCGAAACCTAGTTCTCAAAAACTGTTCATGACCAGACGTAACCAGCTTTCGCTTCAACGTAATTCAAGCGCACCCGGGCTGGCTAACTGCAGCAAACCAAAGCAGGGAACTGGTAACCACAACCGACGGAAATTTACCACGCGACTGGCGTCAAAGTTCGCCTAGAAGCTGGATTTCTCACCATTTCATTTTCCTGTGCCGATTTCGGGGTTGGGGGGAAACCCGAAACCCGTTGAGTTGGCTTCAGGTATATTACCCGTTTATCATACTGCCAAACCGTGAGTTTGACTATTTTTGAAAGCATCTTGTTTATAGCCTGCATAGAAGGTACCAGCTCGCACTTCCACGTCAGCAATGGGGTCCTCCCCCGCAGATTCCGCCGTTACCTCCGCTATAGCTTCCGCTGAAACTCCACCAATCGCGGGGAATACACCCACTGCGCCTGGCGCAGACCTGACGGTCCCTGCTCTGGCAGCTGACGCCGCGGCTGCTCCGGCAGCGGCGGCGCCGCCAGCGGAAAATGCAATAGCCGAGGACGGCGGAAAGCAGTCGGAAACCCCAGTAGCGGCTGTGCCGGCTGTAGAGGTTGCAGCGGCTGTAGCGGCGGAGGGTGCGGCATCCGCGGACGGCGGAAAGCAGGCGGAAACCTCAGTAGCAGCTGCGCCGGCTGTGGCGGCAGCAGCGGCGGAAGGTCCGGCATCCGCGGACGGCGGAGGGGGGGCGATGTGGAAGACGACTATGTGCTCGTTCTTCCGCAAGCACGGGGAGTGCAAGCACAGCGCGCGGTGCAAGTTCGCGCACGGAGAGGCGGAGCTGCGCGCGCGCCCGGACGGGTCGTTTGACCCCACCTCCGCGCGCGGAGGGGCTAAGCGGAGCGAAGCAGGGGAAGGGGATCAGAGCAATAAGGGGAGGAATCGGGGGAGAAAACGCGGAGGGGGAGGGTCTTGGGGAAGGGAGGCGGAGGAAGCGGAGGGTGGCGGGGACGAGGGGAAGGAAGGGGGGGCAGGCGGGGAAGGCGAGTGGAGTCGGCTTTGCGTGCAGAACCTACCCAAGTGGTGGAATGTGAAGCACTTTCGCGAAATGCTTAACGAAATGGTGCGAAGAGGTTACATGCCATTACGAGCATGGATTTAAGGCAGAGGGAGATGAAAAGACTGCACCATCTTAAAAAACACCAAGATTGCTGCAGTTCAAAATTCAAAACCCTCCCTCATCAAGATACGACATAGGCAGATTGAGGACGAAAGTTCAACCCAAACCCTTAGCCAATCCACTGATTCGCTAAACCTTCCCTCGATAAACCCTGCATCGCTAAACCCTAGCCATTGCCGATGGTCTCCACACTCACGCTCCACAACTCATTTCTCCTTCTGAAGCCTTTCTGCATAATACCCTCAGGTTCCCAAACCAAGGGCGTGTTTCTGATCCCTTGACCTGTTATTCTGGGGCTGTTTGGTGGGCGGCAGAGTTTGGAGTATTGCGGGTCGAGGAAAAGCCAGGGCGTGGCGTTTGGATTCGTGTCGTTCGAGTCAGCTGCCGCAGCAGACAAGGCCACTCAGGTGGGCAGCGGAAGCAGGTTAGAGTAGCAGGTGGGAAGGGAGAATCATGGAGTGGTGGGGCTGTAGGTGAGGAGGGGAATGTGGTGAGGAGGGGAAGGTGGTGAGGAGGGGAAGGTGGTGAGGAGGAGAAGGTGGTGAGGAGGGGAAGGCGGGTGAGGAGGGGGAAGCGGGTGAGGAGACTGCAGGCAGTGCAGAGCGGTATCAGAGGTAACTTCAACAAGGCACATCACACCTAACACGCTTCTCCCCTCCCCTCCCCCCAACCCAACCCCACCCCCACCCCCCCCATCTCCATCCCCCACCCCCATGCTCACAATTGCTGCATGGCAAGGCAGTGAGGAACCAGACGCTGGACGTGCAACCAGGGCGGTGTATGGGGCACATTACCCTCATCTTCCATACCCATCCCCAACCCCACCGCCCCCACCCCCCACGAGCACAGCTGCTGCACGGCAAGTTGGTGAAGAACCAGACGCTGGACGTGCAACCAGCGCGGTATGTAAGGCACATTACAACTGACATTCCCGTCCCCACCCCCACCCCTCCCATCCTCTCACCTGCAGCTTTTGAACGGCAAGCTGGTGAAGAACCAGATGCTCGACGTGCAGCCGGCAAGGTACCGCACTCAGAAACAGACGGCGTTCGCCGCCCAGGAGGGTGGCGAGGGGCACGAGGGGAAGAAGAGGAGAACGGAGGGGGAGGATGGCGGGCAAGAGGAGGGAGAGGAGGGCGATAGAGGTGGAGGGGGAGAGGATGAGGAGGAAACGGAAGGAGGAAAGGAAGGAGAGGAGGAAGAAGAGATGGGTGGGGAGGGAGAGGAAGAAGGGGGGGGAGGCACAGGAGGAGAGAGAGAGGGGAAGAAAGCGGAGGGGAGGGGGAGGAAGGAGGCGTGGGAGGCAGTGACACCACTGGCGAGGATGGGGTATCGGGAGCAGCTGGAGATGAAGGGGGGACGCGTAGCAAAGGACCTGCAGCGGATTGTGACGAAGATGAGGAAGCTTTACTCGAGAAAGAGCTTCGCTCAGCTGCCTGAATGGATAAAGTCCGCTAAAGGGAGAGGTGAGAGAGTGGTGAGAGGAAGGGCTTTGCTGAGCTGCCTGAATGGATCAAAACTGCCAGCCCCAGGGAAAGAGGTGAGATGGGGTATCGGGATCAGCTGGAGATGAAGGGGGGACGAGTGGCGAAGGACCTACAGCGGATTGTGGCCAAGATGAGGAAGCTTTACTCGAGGAAGAGCTTTGCACAGCTGCCCGAGTGGATCAAATCTGCCAAAGGGAGAGGTGAGAGAGTGGTGAGAGGAAGGGCTTTGCTGAGCTGCCTGAATGGATCAAAACTGCCAGCCCCAGGGAAAGAGGTGAGATGGGGTATCGGGATCAGCTGGAGATGAAGGGGGGACGAGTGGCGAAGGACCTACAGCGGATTGTGGCCAAGATGAGGAAGCTTTACTCGAGGAAGAGCTTTGCACAGCTGCCCGGGTGGATCAAATCTGCCAAAGGGAGAGGTGAGAGAGTGGTGAGAGGAAGGGCTTTGCTGAGCTGCCTGAATGGATCAAAACTGCCAGCCCCAGGGAAAGAGGTGAGATGGGGTATCGGGATCAGCTGGAGATGAAGGGGGAACGAGTGGCGAAGGACCTACAGCGGATTGTGGCCAAGATGAGGAAGCTTTACTCGAGGAAGAGCTTTGCACAGCTGCCCGAGTGGATCAAATCTGCCAAAGGGAGAGGTGAGAGAGTGGTGAGAGGAAGGGCTTTGCTGAGCTGCCTGAATGGATCAAAACTGCCAGCCCCAGGGAAAGAGGTGAGATGGGGTATCGGGATCAGCTGGAGATGAAGGGGGGACGAGTGGCGAAGGACCTACAGCGGATTGTGGCCAAGATGAGGAAGCTTTACTCGAGGAAGAGCTTTGCACAGCTGCCCGAGTGGATCAAATCTGCCAAAGGGAGAGGTGAGAGAGTGGTGAGAGGAAGGGCTTTGCTGAGCTGCCTGAATGGATCAAAACTGCCAGCCCCAGGGAAAGAGGTGAGATGGGGTATCGGGATCAGCTGGAGATGAAGGGGGGACGAGTGGCGAAGGACCTACAGCGGATTGTGACCAAGATGAGGAAGCTTTACTCGAGGAAGAGCTTTGCACAGCTGCCCGAGTGGATCAAATCTGCCAAAGGGAGAGGTGAGAGAGTGGTGAGAGGAAGGGCTTTGCTGAGCTGCCTGAATGGATCAAAACTGCCAGCCCCAGGGAAAGAGGTGAGATGGGGTATCGGGATCAGCTGGAGATGAAGGGGGAACGAGTGGCGAAGGACCTACAGCGGATTGTGGCCAAGATGAGGAAGCTTTACTCGAGGAAGAGCTTTGCACAGCTGCCCGAGTGGATCAAATCTGCCAAAGGGAGAGGTGAGAGAGTGGTGAGAGGAAGGGCTTTGCTGAGCTGCCTGAATGGATCAAAACTGCCAGCCCCAGGGAAAGAGGTGAGATGGGGTATCGGGATCAGCTGGAGATGAAGGGGGGACGAGTGGCGAAGGACCTACAGCGGATTGTGGCCAAGATGAGGAAGCTTTACTCGAGGAAGAGCTTTGCACAGCTGCCCGAGTGGATCAAATCTGCCAAAGGGAGAGGTGAGAGAGTGGTGAGAGGAAGGGCTTTGCTGAGCTGCCTGAATGGATCAAAACTGCCAGCCCCAGGGAAAGAGGTGAGATGGGGTATCGGGATCAGCTGGAGATGAAGGGGGGACAAGTGGCGAAGGACCTACAGCGGATTGTGGCCAAGATGAGGAAGCTTTACTCGAGGAAGAGCTTTGCACAGCTGCCCGAGTGGATCAAATCTGCCAAAGGGAGAGGTGAGAGAGTGGTGAGAGGAAGGGCTTTGCTGAGCTGCCTGAATGGATCAAAACTGCCAGCCCCAGGGAAAGAGGTGAGATGGGGTATCGGGATCAGCTGGAGATGAAGGGGGAACGAGTGGCGAAGGACCTACAGCGGATTGTGGCCAAGATGAGGAAGCTTTACTCGAGGAAGAGCTTTGCACAGCTGCCCGAGTGGATCAAATCTGCCAAAGGGAGAGGTGAGAGAGTGGTGAGAGGAAGGGCTTTGCTGAGCTGCCTGAATGGATCAAAACTGCCAGCCCCAGGGAAAGAGGTGAGATGGGGTATCGGGATCAGCTGGAGATGAAGGGGGGACGAGTGGCGAAGGACCTACAGCGGATTGTGGCCAAGATGAGGAAGCTTTACTCGAGGAAGAGCTTTGCACAGCTGCCCGAGTGGATCAAATCTGCCAAAGGGAGAGGTGAGAGAGTGGTGAGAGGAAGGGCTTTGCTGAGCTGCCTGAATGGATCAAAACTGCCAGCCCCAGGGAAAGAGGTGAGATGGGGTATCGGGATCAGCTGGAGATGAAGGGGGGACGAGTGGCGAAGGACCTACAGCGGATTGTGACCAAGATGAGGAAGCTTTACTCGAGGAAGAGCTTTGCACAGCTGCCCGAGTGGATCAAATCTGCCAAAGGGAGAGGTGAGAGAGTGGTGAGAGGAAGGGCTTTGCTGAGCTGCCTGAATGGATCAAAACTGCCAGCCCCAGGGAAAGAGGTGAGATGGGGTATCGGGATCAGCTGGAGATGAAGGGGGAACGAGTGGCGAAGGACCTACAGCGGATTGTGGCCAAGATGAGGAAGCTTTACTCGAGGAAGAGCTTTGCACAGCTGCCCGAGTGGATCAAATCTGCCAAAGGGAGAGGTGAGAGAGTGGTGAGAGGAAGGGCTTTGCTGAGCTGCCTGAATGGATCAAAACTGCCAGCCCCAGGGAAAGAGGTGAGATGGGGTATCGGGATCAGCTGGAGATGAAGGGGGGACGAGTGGCGAAGGACCTACAGCGGATTGTGGCCAAGATGAGGAAGCTTTACTCGAGGAAGAGCTTTGCACAGCTGCCCGAGTGGATCAAATCTGCCAAAGGGAGAGGTGAGAGAGTGGTGAGAGGAAGGGCTTTGCTGAGCTGCCTGAATGGATCAAAACTGCCAGCCCCAGGGAAAGAGGTGAGATGGGGTATCGGGATCAGCTGGAGATGAAGGGGGGACGAGTGGCGAAGGACCTACAGCGGATTGTGGCCAAGATGAGGAAGCTTTACTCGAGGAAGAGCTTTGCACAGCTGCCCGAGTGGATCAAATCTGCCAAAGGGAGAGGTGAGAGAGTGGTGAGAGGAAGGGCTTTGCTGAGCTGCCTGAATGGATCAAAACTGCCAGCCCCAGGGAAAGAGGTGAGATGGGGTATCGGGATCAGCTGGAGATGAAGGGGGGACGAGTGGCGAAGGACCTACAGCGGATTGTGGCCAAGATGAGGAAGCTTTACTCGAGGAAGAGCTTTGCACAGCTGCCCGAGTGGATCAAATCTGCCAAAGGGAGAGGTGAGAGAGTGGTGAGAGGAAGGGCTTTGCTGAGCTGCCTGAATGGATCAAAACTGCCAGCCCCAGGGAAAGAGGTGAGATGGGGTATCGGGATCAGCTGGAGATGAAGGGGGAACGAGTGGCGAAGGACCTACAGCGGATTGTGGCCAAGATGAGGAAGCTTTACTCGAGGAAGAGCTTTGCACAGCTGCCCGAGTGGATCAAATCTGCCAAAGGGAGAGGTGAGAGAGTGGTGAGAGGAAGGGCTTTGCTGAGCTGCCTGAATGGATCAAAACTGCCAGCCCCAGGGAAAGAGGTGAGATGGGGTATCGGGATCAGCTGGAGATGAAGGGGGGACGAGTGGCGAAGGACCTACAGCGGATTGTGGCCAAGATGAGGAAGCTTTACTCGAGGAAGAGCTTTGCACAGCTGCCCGAGTGGATCAAATCTGCCAAAGGGAGAGGTGAGAGAGTGGTGAGAGGAAGGGCTTTGCTGAGCTGCCTGAATGGATCAAAACTGCCAGCCCCAGGGAAAGAGGTGAGATGGGGTATCGGGATCAGCTGGAGATGAAGGGGGGACGAGTGGCGAAGGACCTACAGCGGATTGTGACCAAGATGAGGAAGCTTTACTCGAGGAAGAGCTTTGCACAGCTGCCCGAGTGGATCAAATCTGCCAAAGGGAGAGGTGAGAGAGTGGTGAGAGGAAGGGCTTTGCTGAGCTGCCTGAATGGATCAAAACTGCCAGCCCCAGGGAAAGAGGTGAGATGGGGTATCGGGATCAGCTGGAGATGAAGGGGGAACGAGTGGCGAAGGACCTACAGCGGATTGTGGCCAAGATGAGGAAGCTTTACTCGAGGAAGAGCTTTGCACAGCTGCCCGAGTGGATCAAATCTGCCAAAGGGAGAGGTGAGAGAGTGGTGAGAGGAAGGGCTTTGCTGAGCTGCCTGAATGGATCAAAACTGCCAGCCCCAGGGAAAGAGGTGAGATGGGGTATCGGGATCAGCTGGAGATGAAGGGGGGACGAGTGGCGAAGGACCTACAGCGGATTGTGGCCAAGATGAGGAAGCTTTACTCGAGGAAGAGCTTTGCACAGCTGCCCGAGTGGATCAAATCTGCCAAAGGGAGAGGTGAGAGAGTGGTGAGAGGAAGGGCTTTGCTGAGCTGCCTGAATGGATCAAAACTGCCAGCCCCAGGGAAAGAGGTGAGATGGGGTATCGGGATCAGCTGGAGATGAAGGGGGGACGAGTGGCGAAGGACCTACAGCGGATTGTGGCCAAGACGAGGAAGCTTTACTCGAGGAAGAGCTTTGCACAGCTGCCCGAGTGGATCAAATCTGCCAAAGGGAGAGGTGAGAGAGTGGTGAGAGGAAGGGCTTTGCTGAGCTGCCTGAATGGATCAAAACTGCCAGCCCCAGGGAAAGAGGTGAGATGGGGTATCGGGATCAGCTGGAGATGAAGGGGGGACGAGTGGCGAAGGACCTACAGCGGATTGTGACCAAGATGAGGAAGCTTTACTCGAGGAAGAGCTTTGCACAGCTGCCCGAGTGGATCAAATCTGCCAAAGGGAGAGGTGAGAGAGTGGTGAGAGGAAGGGCTTTGCTGAGCTGCCTGAATGGATCAAAACTGCCAGCCCCAGGGAAAGAGGTGAGATGGGGTATCGGGATCAGCTGGAGATGAAGGGGGGACGAGTGGCGAAGGACCTACAGCGGATTGTGACCAAGATGAGGAAGCTTTACTCGAGGAAAAGCTTCGCACAACTGCCTGATTGGATCAAAACTGCTAGAGAGAGAGGTGAGGAAGGGGCATGAAAAGGTGAAGACGTGCGATTTCTCCTCTTGGCCCTCTGCTTCTGGTCAGCCACATCCCCTCCTTCTTGTCTCCCCTATCCCCACCTACAGCCCACCTCCCCTGCGTGTTTGAAGGAATCTACGCCTCCCCAGTGGTGGACGGCTATCGCAACAAGTGCGAGTTCTCCATCGGGCCCTCTGCTGCTGGTCAGCCCACCGTTGGGTTCCTTCTCGGAAACTTCCGGTGAGAAATGGGTGTGGATTGAGCAGGCACGGCAGCAGTAGCAGAGCCAGTCGAGGGGAAATAAAAAAAAATCGGGAGTAAGGAGGTGACTTTTGAGTGGACTCCTAAGTCAACAGGAAAAATGTTACTGGGAGTAAGTCCTTTCTTATCTTGTGCCCCCCCTTGCCTTCAGTACCTTTTGTTAAGGCGAGGTGCGAGCCAGTTTTCGCTTTTGCCTGCTGCAACGGTTGGTGAGGGCCTTCAGTCACACTTACCATAGAGCATCCTTCTCCTTCCTGCCTTCCCTCTCTCTCCCTGTCCTAACCATCTCTCCCTCGCCTCCCACTTCCCAACTCCCCCTCCCCCTACGCTTCCTTTCTCCCCCCAGCGATGGGGTGACAGCAGTGGCAGAGCCATCGTAGTGTTGAAACAACATCTCCCCCATCGCCATCGCCTTTGCACGCCAGGTGCAGGGGGTGGTGCGGGGCGGGGTTGAAACTAACAAGGCCTAAGGAGAGTCAACCAGCCGTCAGGGTGTCGAAACATCTCCCCTATCGCCATCGCCTTTGCACACCTGGTGCAGGAAGTGGTGGGGGGGGGGGTGGTGCGAGGCTCAAGTTACACCTGCCTTTTACTCTCTGCTCCTTCCTGCCTTCCCTCTCTCTCCCTACCCCCCTGCCAGCGACGGAGTGACAGCAGTGGCGGAACCATCAGGGTGTCGAAACATCTCCCCCGTCGCCATCGCCTTTGCACGCCTGGTGCAGGAAGTGGTGCGAGAATCACCCCTGGCTGCATGGGATAAGGTCAACAACCGCGGCTTCTGGCGATTGCTCACGGTGGGTGGATGGATGGATGGGTATATGTGGAGTGGTGGGTGGGTGAAGGGGTCGGTGTAGCAGGTGGTATGGTGTCGGTGTAGCAGGTGGTATGGTGTCGGTGTAGCAGGTGGTATGGTGGGGGTGGTGCGGGGATTCCCCCTGGCTGCGGGGATTCCCCCTGGCTGCGGGGATTCCCCCTGGCTGCAGGGATTCCCCCTGGCTGCGTGGAACAAGGTCAACAACCGGGGCTTCTGGCGATTGCTCACGGTGGGTGGGTGGGATTGACAGGGCGTGTGTGTGTGCGTGTGTGTGAGGAGGGGGGGGTGGGACTGACAGGGCGACATTCCTCTTCCAGTGCCTGGTTCAGGGAGTTGGGAGGGGCTCGCCCCTAGCTGCGTGGGACGAGCTCAACAAACAGGGGCTTCCGGCGATTGCTCACGGTGGGTGGGTGGGTGGGTGGAGCGAGCATGTGTGGGTGTATGTGTGTGTGAGTGTGGAGTGGGGGGTGGGACTGACAGGGCGCCATTTCTCTTCCAATGCACGGCTGCTGCAAGGAGTTGTGAGTGAGGGCAGCGGCCCTTTTAGTCTATGCTCATTATTTTTTTTACTCGCATTCTCTCCATTGAGGCGCCAGTTCCTTCTGATGTTTTCTCCCATGCTCATTCCATCTATCCCATCCTCCCTGCATCCACGTCAGCTGCAGGGTGTTGCTGAGAATTCTAAAGAAACGCACTCAGACTGCAAGCGAGAAAAGGCACGGCAGAACCACGTACCGTTGCTCCGCACTGCAACACATGCTCTCTCCATGCCCTCCCTTCTCGTAGTTAATCCCTCTCCCTCGTTATCCTCCCTGCATCCATCCACTTCAACTGCAGGTGAGGGAAGGCACGGCCGAACCACTCACTGCCGCACCAAATCCCGGGCCTGCTGCTGCTGACGTGGCACCGATGGACGTGGACCAATCAGCAACCGCCAATGGTGGACAGCCATTGACAGAGGAGCGATGTGATGATGTCACTATACTGGATCACCATGGGACACGGCCTGAAGATGACACAGGGGATGACACAAGAAACGACACAGGGGGTGACGCAAAGGGTGACACAAGGGAAGGGAAAGGCACGGGGTACAGTGGCAGGGCGGCAGTGAATCAAGTGATGCTGCTGCTGCAGGTGAACCCTGCTGGTGTCGATCGGACGGCCGTGGATGCGGAGCTGAGCAGATTGACGGCTGAGATTGAAAGAGGAGCGGCGGAGCACAGCCCCCCACTGCCTCTGACTCTGATTCTGGTTCAGGTGGGAAGGACTGTCACTGTCACTCATTCTCTCACCCTCACTCTAGTACTCACTCCCATTGCCACTTAAAATAGTCATGCTCCCACTCGCGCTCTTCGTCTCCATACATATTCACTTTAATACGGCAAAAAGAAAGGATGAAAGTGGAAAACTTGCCCCCCATACGGACTTCGCCCCCTGCAGGAGCACTCGGGTGTGTCCAATGCAGCGCCTGAAAGGTGCCCCATCCGCCTGCTCTGTGCACACCCCACACTGAAAGGAAAGGAAAGAGGATGAGAAGAAACCCCCCCAACCCCACCCCACCCCACCCCACCCCACCCCACCCCACCCCACCCCACCCCACAACACCCCACCCCATACTGACACCTTTGCAGGAGCACTCGGGTGTGTCCAATGCAGCCCCTGAGAGCTGCCCCATCCGACTGCTCTACATTGGAGTCACTTTTGGGACTTCTCAAATGTAAATCTCCCCTCCCCACTTGCCTCCACTTGTATGTCCCTATCTCCTTGCAGGAGCACTCGGGTGTGTCCAATGCAGCCCCTGAGAGCTGCCCCATCCGACTGCTCTGTGCATACCCCACACTGAAAGGAAAGGAACGAGGATGAGAAGAAACCCCCCCAACCCCACCCCACCCCACCCCACCCCACCCCACCCCCATACTGACTATCTCCCTGCAGGAGCACTCGGGCGTGTCCAATGCAGCCCCTGAGAGCTGCCCCATCCGGCTGCTCTACCCCCGCTCTAGTCGAACTCAGCCATCAGCAGCAGCGCCTGTGGCGGGGAATGGAAGTGCGAGTGGTGGGCAAGAAGAGGCACGTACATCACTGGCGAAGGCAGATCAGTCAGCAGGGGAAGCATATCAATCAACAGCAGACGGACCAGAAGCAGCAGCAGCAGCAGCAACAGCATCAGCAGCAGAGGCAGGAGCAGCAGCAGCAACACCATCAGCAGTAGAAGCAGAAGCACCAGCAGGAGCGGCAGCTGAAAAAGCGTGTGACACGCACATATACGACCATCTGTGTGGGCTCAAGTTCCGCCTCTCACCCACCTCCTTCTTCCAGGTAATCAGTCACCTGCTTCTCTTGAGTCACCTTTTGGTCTACACTGGAAAGCTCTCACCGCCTGAGATTCTCTTACCACCACTATGCCCACCACCACCCTCGCCACCCCACACTACCCCCTCGGCCTTCCTTCCTTCATGCCCCGTTCCTCCCCTCCCCCACGGACCAACTCAGCAGGTGTGCAGCTGCTGTATCGACTCGCTGCTTCCCCTTTGTTCCCTAATTCAACTCAAGCCTTCTATCCCCAGACAACCTATTACGCTTTCCCCTCCTCGACAGACCTACACTGCAGGAGCGCATCTGCTGTATTTGCTTGCTGCTTCCTGGGTGGTTCTGATTTCTCCTTATCCCCATGCCCCTGCTCTCTCTCACACGGCCTTGCTATCCCCTTGTCCCCTCACTCTTCCCCTCCCCACAGACCAACTCAGCAGGAGCGCAGCTGCTGCATCAGCTCGCTGCTTCTTGGGTGGGTAGGCTTGGGGCCGCCTCCCCTACTTTCGCTCAACCCATCTATCCCTTTACAACTATTTGTCCTTCTCCTCCCCCACAGACCAACTCAGCAGGAGCGCAGCTGCTGTATCAGCTCGCTGCTTCCTGGGTGGGCTTGGGGCCGCCTCCCCCCTGCCCACCTCCCCTCTGTTCCCTAATTTTCACTCAACCCTTCTATCCCTCCACAACCTTTCTATCCCTCCACAACCTTTTTCTCTCTCCCCTCCCCAACAGACCAACTCAGCAGGGGCGCAGCTGCTGTATCAGCTCGCTGCTTCCTGGGTGGGCTTGGGGCCTCCTCCTCCCTGCCCCCCTCCCGTGCTCCCTCCCCTCTTGACCAAGAAACAGCAGCAGGGGCAGGAGCAGGGGCAGGAGCAGCAGGGGCAGGAGCAGGGGCAGGAACAGGAGCAGCAGGGGCAAGAGCAGCAGCAGGCGCAGGAGCAGGAGCAACAGGGGCAGGGGCAGCAGCAGGAGGGGCAGCAAGGAGGGCAAAGCGAGGAGAGGGGCGGAGTGTTGGTATTTGATGTGTGCTGTGGCACCGGCACCATCGGCCTGTGTGTTGCCAAGCACGCCAAGAAGGTAAATTCAGAGAGATCTAAAGGTTTAAACAGGCTAACAGGTGAAATAAAGGTTTAAACAGAGCTTACGGTTAGCCTGTTTGCTGCAAACCTGTTGGTCCATGCAAAACGCGAGCATTCGGTTTCGGAGTAAGCATGATGAAGACGATTGGTGTAACTCGGTTCTTCCCTCTTCATCTGCAGGTGATCGGGATCGAGATGAACGAGTCGGCAGTGGAGGATGCGAGGAGGAATGCGGCCATCAACGGCATTCAGCATGCCGAGTTCATCGCCTCCCGGGTGAGCCTGTGCGGTGGGTTGAGCAGTGTTTGCTTGAAAGGTAAGTGCTCGTGGAGGGTTGTGCTTCCTTGCTTGCTTAGAGGACAAGGTATGCAGTGCAGCCATCAACGGCATGCAGCATGCTGAGTTCATAGCCTCTCGGGTGAGCCTGTGCGGTCGGTTGGGCAGGGCTTGAATGGAGGGTGGTACCGTACTGTAGGGCATGCTTGCTTAGAGGAGGAATGCGGCCATCAACGGCATTCAGCATGCCGAGTTCATCACCTCTCGGGTGAGTGTGTGTGGAGACGTCGCAAAGCTCATTGCCGAAAGTTCATTGCCCCTGATCGAGGGTAGACTGGTGGGCTGCGTACGCCTTACTTCCATCAGCTCAACAGGTAATCCTGTCTGGTAAACCTGGAACCCCTTAATTTACATGGTAAGGTAAACCTGGTTTAAAAAAAAAAAAAAAATACATGGTAAGGTAAACCTGGTTTAAAAAAAAAAAATCCTTCATGTCTCAAAGTTCATTGGCTCCCTGATGTCCCTCTTATGCTGATGTGCTTACCTGTTCCACCCGTGCTGCCCTCGAATGCAGGCTGAGCTGGTGCTGCCAAAGCTCCTCCATAAGTACCTCCCCCAGGTGAAGCCTGCCCCTGACAGCCCCCCCCAGGGGAAGGAGGGGAAGGAGGGGAAGGAGGGGAAGGAGGGGCAGCAGCAGGACGAAGGGAAAGAGGAAAAGGAGGAAGGGGAGAAGGAGTTTGAGTTTTCTCGAGTTGTGACGATCGTGGACCCTCCACGAGCTGGTCTGCATCCAACGGTAATGACGTAATGGGTAATGTGCATCCAACGGTAATGACGTAATGGGTTATGTGCATTTAACGGTAATCACAACTATGCTGGAGTCACTTTTGAAAATTCTCAACGATGCTCACAGAGGAATTGCTTTGCATGGACGTGGGATGGCGTGTAGGATTCGTATGTGAGTCGTGTTTTAAGCATGCTAACAATTCGGCAGGCGTGCGCATCATGTTTGAAACGCCTTGTGTGGGAGCAACGGCACTACACACCAAAATGCACACATACAAGCCGTTTTCTTTCGCTTCCCCCCTCTTGTGCCTCTCATGCACACCCGCAACAGGTGCTTAGAGCCCTTCGGGAGAATCCCAAGATCGAGCAGCTGCTGTAAGCCCTCTTCTCTCCCTTCTGCATGAATTAGTGCAAATTTTATTCACGCCTAAAATATCGGCACATTAAGCTTCAAGATACCAGTTTTTTTGTGTAGGCCATGGCTGGGGAACCGTTTCGGCCATAGGCCATTGAGAGCCGTGGCTGTGGATTAAACTTCCCCCTGCTCCTTTGCTTTCCCCAGCTACATCTCGTGCAACCCTTCGTCTCTCGTTGCCAACGTCCTCGACCTCTGCTCGCCCCCTCCCGAGCTCAAGAAGCCGCAGGCAGGAGGCGGGGGGGTTGGAGCAAGTGGGGGGGTTTGAACCTCTGCTCGCCTCTATTCAACATCTCAACCGTCTCACCCTTCTTCCACTTCCTCTTCTTCTCCACCCCCTTCCTCCCCCGCAGCTACATCTCATGCAACCCTTCGTCTCTCGTCAGCAACGTCCTCAACCTCTGCTCACCACCTCGCACTGCCTTCACCGTACCTGACCTTACCAGCATTTCCTTCACTTCCCAATCCTTCTCCCCTCCGCCCCTCTTCCCCACCCACCCCCCTCCCCCCAGCTACATCTCATGCAACCCCTCGTCCCTCGTGGCAAACGTCCTCGACCTCTGCTCGCCCCCTCCGGAGCTCAAGAAGCCGCAAGCAGGAGGCGGGGGGTGGAGCAAGTGGGGGCCTGCAGCTGGACAGAGGGCCATGGCTGGGGAGCCATTTCGGCCGGTGAGGGCCGTGGCGGTGGATTTGTTTCCGCACACGGAGCACTGTGAGGTGGTGATGCTGCTGGAGAGGTAGCAGTAGCATGGGGGGGGGAGCAGGTGCAGCGGGGCAGCGGGCCATGGCCGGGGAGCCTTTTCGACCTGTCAGATAAGTGGCTGTGGATTTGTTCCCCCACACACACGGAGCACTGTGAAGAGGTGATGCTGCTGGAGAGGTAGCAGCAGCAAGGGGGGGGGGGGGGGGAGCAAGTGCGGCAGGGCAGAGGGCCATGACTGGGGAACCATTTCGTCCTGTGAGAGCAGTGGCTGTGGATTTGTTCCCCCACACACACGGAGCACTGTGAAGTGGTGATGCTGCTGGAGAGGAAGAGGGGGGGGGAGGACTGCTGGGTGTGGGGGGAGGTCGATGAGGGCTTGTGGCTGTTGCCTGTTTCCCCACACGGAGCACTGTGAAGTGGTGATGCTGCTGGAGTGGTAGAGGAGGAGGAATGAGGGAAACATGTCTATCTCCGCTCACTCCCTCTAGAGTTGAAAATGCCACTGCATGATGCTTCTTGCTCTTTATGTGTATGATGCCGGTGTAATCTCCTACGGTACATGACAGCGTCACTATACTAACCTTTCCAACGTATGTTCTTTGTTGCACCTTACGGTAGTTTGTGCGATAATTATGAGAGATTGTCCACATTTGACAACCACCACACCATGAGATGGGATGAGATCATGAGATCTTTCAAATACCAGAAAGGGTGGGGCATGACTGACGGGAGGTAGGGTAGATGCATGCACCGTGTACACCCTGCTTTGTCCTTTTTCTCTTCAAATGAAAACCAAAACCCTGGCAATCTTCCACTATTTTCCAAACACATACAGGAAGTACGCCATTTCGTAGAGGAAATTCTACTCTGCAATATCTCTTCCTTCTGCAACCCATTATCTTTTCATGGACTTGGCTATTCTTTGCAAATGGAAATTGATTGTGTTTCTGGTCTTGCCTTTGGACCTCTGCATGCATACACATGCAGCAACAGAATGGAGTAAGAGAAGGGATGGTATGAGTGACGAACGGGAAGAAGGAACATTAAGACATTTATTGTGTTCCTCGTATTGCCTTTGGACCTCTCCAAGAACACACATGCACGCACCACAGAGGAGGTAAGAGATGGTGATGGTATGAGACGGGAAGGAAGAAAGAAACTCAAGTTTTTTAGTCGACACAAAAATTGATTGTATTCTTGGTTTTGCCTTAGGGCCTCTGCATGCACACAGTTACACACAGATGCAGACGCACAGAGGAGGCAAGAGATGGGTTGGTATGAGAGGGGAGGAAAGAGGAGAATCGATTGTGTTTCTGATCTTCCCTTTCCTCTGCATGCAAACTGATGCAACAACGGAGGTAAGGGAGGGCAATGGCATGAGAGGAAAGGGATGATTTCTTCTTCTTCTTTTTGTTGTCAACTTTGGACCTATTCACCCGCGCAGATGTACACATATGCAGCAGCACATGAGAGACAAGGGAGGGGATGGTACGAGTGGGGAGAAAAGGGGGGTAGGGAAGGGCGGGGCAGAAAGAGGGGATGTTACAAAACGTGCGGAAGGAGGGTTGACAACATGAGGGAAGGTACGCGGAAATGTTAGGAGAGAACGTTAAGAGAGAACGTTAAGAGTGGGGATGGGAGAGAGGAGATGTTGAGAGAGAAGGAAGAGGACAGAGGTTAGGGAAGTGGGGATGTTAAGACAGGAAAGGTAAGGGTGGAGAGGTGAACCGTGCATGTTAAGAAAGGGTACGGCAGGTGGGAAGAATGCACAGATGCTATGCAACCGTGCAGATGACTTAAGGAAATTATTGTAAAATGGATACGGGCCGGAAAACGTGCAGATTTGTCAACTCAGGTGACATGTCTGCATGCAACCCTCGCAACGCAGCAAACGGGAGAAAAGAGAGGAGGGAAGAGAGGAGGGAAGAGAGGAGGGCGGAGAGGAGAGAAGAGAGGAGGGAGGAGAAGGGAGGGAAGTCACACATGACAGATCATGGGCGATCACAGCCGGGCGATTATGGCCGATCATTGGCGATCATGGGCGATCAAGCGCGATCATGTGCGATAAAATGCGATCACAAGCGATCATGTGCGATCATGGCCGAACATGCGCGAGCACGGCGAGCTGACCTGCGTGTCCATGCACGCGTCGAGCGCGGCGAGGTGCTTCTGGCACGGGCGAGCACTGGTAATCTTGAGCGATCATGGGCGATCATGTGCGATCATGTGCGACGCAAGCGAGCACGGCGAACTGACCTGCGTGTCCATGCACGCGTCGAGCGCGGTGAGGTGCTTCTGGCACGGCGTCGTGTCGAACGAGTTCTCCTTGATGCAGCTCATGAACGCCATCATCTCCGTGAAACACGGCAGCGTCTTCCTCCCCCCCATGTCCTTAGGGTTCACCTTAATCACCTCTGAGACCTTCTTTCTCGCCATCGCTCAGGCCTCGTTACCTAGCAATCTAGTTGTTGTGTAGCCTGGTTACCTTGTATCCTGGTTACCCTGGATCCAACAAAGGTTTCTGGCTGAAGTCGCTACGGAGATTGAGCTGGTGCAGGGATCGAGCGCCGCTGACTAGGCTACTAATGGCCAGAGGTGCAAATCGGCGTGCTGATGTGACTTTGCGGCTGCTGCTAGCACGTTAGCAGTTACCGAGGTGGTAATCTGCGGACCTGATCGCGTAGTCACAACCTCAGGTCCCTCACGTCCTGAGACCACCTGATCCAACGCCGGGAAGGTGCAAGTAAGGATTTAGTGCCGTCACGCGAAACCAACTCGACGGGAGAGTAAGTGTAGGAGGTAGGAAGGAACCAAGAGGTCTAGCCATGGACGTCCCATACCCGTTATCATATACCAGACTGTGCATTTTTGGATGGAAAGTGTAATGACAGGAACAATTGACCTATTATATCAAAATATTTTCCTACTATCTAAGAGTTTCCGCAGAAAATCAATACAAATTCTGATCCACGGGTGGTCAGTCGTCATCCCTTTCCACCACTTGGTGGTCCGTCGTCATCCCTCTCCCACGACAAGGCTCGTGGTGGATGGGATGGAAGTCGTCCAGTAAATGGGGACGACTGTGGCCGACGTTTTCGTCCAATCATGTGAGGCAGACAGTAGTCGCGACGCGACAGGCTGCTCCGGGGTCTTCCCATGCCTTCAATTTCGAACCAAGCGACACCTGAGCGAGTCGTACGCTTTTCGCGGGCGAGGTTCGGAAAAACCTGTTAAGGTCATGAATAATTACCCTGACGCTAGAGAATGTTTCAAGACTGTAAACTCACCACAACGAAAGGGTATTCCTGTGCTGTAGTGTTTAGGCGCAGTCGTCGCTTTTAACGAATGACAATAAAATATTCGCCTAAATTTGATGTACTGTTTAGAAGAAACCTGCAAAGTTTCTACCAAGGAGCTGGAAGTACAGTTCTCAGCGCCATCTCCTCCCACGACTGCTTTGTTACCCCCAGCCCAAGAAAAACGAAGAGGTTTGGTTCAACGGTTCCCGCGCCGTTGTTCGAGACTGGTGCCGTGGCGCATTGTATGGCGCGCTGCATGCTGGCGCCTTTCCACCGACGTTTCGACTTTCAACATTCACTAGTGTCGGCTTTCACCTCAGCAGAGTTTGCGTGTGTCCCACAACGCAATGAAGGCATCAGATGGAGGGCCAGTTTGCCCCTCTAAAGCTTTTCAGCTGCTTATCAGACCAGCACCTCTTGCGCTCTCATCATTTGTGCACATCATCATTGCACAACAATGGCACCGAACATCTGTCGCGTAGAGCCTGCGCCCATTGCATTTGGGACAATTCCGCTAGTCAAACGACATGCTTCAAGCACCAGCGATGGCGTTCGCAGTCTTCAATTAGATGAGCGCAGCAGCGAAGCGGCAACAGCAGGAGCAGCTCCCGACCTGCTCCATGAAATCAACCCCCTGTCTTCATCAAAGGCAGCCTCAGAACCGTCAACTGACAACCAATCGACAGACAATGGAGGAAGTGCACCAATCAGCAAGGAGCGTTCTTCTTCTAAACCGCCGCCGCAGAAGGTGGCGCAGCAGTACCTCAAATCCCGGTTCCTCGGCTTGACTGCAGACCAAATTAAGACGCTGTTCCACCTCTCTGTGAACAGTAGCCCGCGCATGCTCCTGCCTCTCGTTGCGGCGTTAGCCGTGCAGCTGACTCGGCACTTGAAGCAGGAGGATTTCCTTCACCTCTGTGAGCAGGTGCTTCAACTGGACCTGTCATATGCAATTGCAGCTTTTTCTGCGGTCATCTTCGCTGTTACAGTCTTCGCGCTCACCCGCCCCCGGCGTATCTTCCTCGTTGATTTCGCCTGCTATCGCCCGCCGGAGCACCTTGTCATCACGAAAGATGTCGCGCTGGTTCGGGTAACGCGACTCGGCTACTTCGACGAGAAAAGCAGAGAGTTTCAGACGAAGGTGTTTGAACGATCTGGTCTCGGCAACCGAACGTATTTACCTCCCTCCATGCACACGTGGCCACCTTCTCCCTCCATCTCCAACGCTCGAGTTGAAGCCGAGATGGTGATTTTTGGAGCGCTGGACGAGCTGTTTGCCAAGACAGGAGTCGACCCTAAGGACGTCTCCATTCTCATAGTCAATTGTACCATCTTCTGCCCGACGCCGTCCCTGTCTGCCCTGGTGGTTAACCACTACAAGATGCGTGAGGACATTCAGTCGTACAACCTGGGTGGCATGGGGTGCAGCGCGAGCGTCTCTGCTGTCAAGCTGGCCGGCGATCTTCTTCAGTCGCAGCCGAACAAGTACGCGGTTATCGTTTCCACGGAGAACATCACGCAAAACGCGTATCTCGGTAACCGTCGCTCCATGCAGGTTACCAACGTTTTGTTTCGCATGGGTGGAGCCGCTGCGCTGATCTCCAACAAGCCGCGTGATGCCTGGAGGGCGAAGTACGAGCTGGGTCACGTTGTTCGTACGCACTTGGGCGCAGACGACAAGAGCTACAAGTGCATTTACCAGGAGCAGGATGAGAATAAGATCTCAGGTGTCATGCTCTCTCGCGAGCTCATGACCACTGCTGCTCAAGCGCTCAAGGCCAACATCACAACCCTTGGACCCCTGGTGCTGCCGGTTTCGGAGAAGCTGATTTATGCTGCCGCTTACCTCGCCAGGCGCGTATTCGGGATGAATATTAAGGAGTACGTGCCGGATTTCAGACTCGCGTTCGAGCATTTCTGCATCCACCCTGGTGGCCGCGCTCTTCTAGACGAGGTCCAGAAGGCGCTTAACCTCTCGCCGCACGACATGGAGCCAAACAGAATGACTCTTTACCGATGGGGTAATCTCTCATCCGCCTCCATTTGGTACGAGCTGTCATTCCTCGAGGCTAGGGACCGTGTGCGGCGTGGAGACCGCGTGTGGCAGCTCGCGTTTGGAAGCGGATTCAAGTGCCAGAGTGCCACATGGAAAGCTCTTCGCAGCATTCCTGGTGATAAGAACGGAGGTCCCTGGGCTGAGAACGGTGAGGTGTCTTCACCACCCCCAGGTGAGGCCATGTAGGGTCTTCCTGATTAGGTTTGCACCTGTGCTATGCTATCTATTATTTATACGTACGGTAATATTGAATAAATGCACCTTGTACTTACCATACAACTGCACAACACAGCATACGTGTAACTCTGAATGTACAGACATATCCCTCCTACCAAGATCAGAGATTACTTGCTCTGGCAAAGCATGCCAATCCGTCTGCATCTGTTCTAGCAGTTCAGCATGGTTCACCAAAGCTGTGTTTGTGTTGCATTACAGCAGCTGCATGGGTTTTCACAATCTCTGCTGCTGACTGACCTGGGCGAATGGTGTACCCAAACTCTCCATCCGCATCAAAGAAACATAAGGAGCTTAGGATAATGAAGCAATGCATGCAGCCAATTCTTTTGTGAATGGATTATGGAAACATACCATGGCTCTTGAAGACCCAGACATTGTCCCCTTGCACAGGACCATCCTCAGCCATGGAGGTGTAGAGAGCGTCGTATATGGCAGTCAGAAACCTGCCAGTAAATGAAGAGCACGTCTTTAACCATGTATAGAATATAGTATGCAGCAGGCCCCACGTTATCAGGGCAAAACATCCTGATTACCCTGAATTCAGGATGCTGTTTTGAATTTACCCTGTCATTTCAGAATAGTGTAAATTTTAACCCTGAGGTCTCAGGATGTTTTTATATGAAATGCCCTGAACATTCAGAATGGCTGTAGTGTTCTTCCTTGTAGCGTCAGGATGAATGCCGAGGCCTGCCCTCTCCGTAGGCAATCCCGTCGTGAAGCACTCATTCAACCACCCAACCATCCAGAAGTGGCCTAGTCAGTAGAAAGGTACTTCCGATAGATGAGGTCCTGGGACCGAACACACCCCCGTGCAATCGAACTTCAACTTCAACTTTGTCAACCAACCAGTCTGAACCCTGAACACCTGTTTTTTTGCCCTGACAGGTCAGGATTGATTTCTGAAAAAGCCCTGAACATACAGGAAGGCTTCGAAAATTTGCCCTGACAAATCAGGGCATTTTTTACGATTCTGGAAAGGTGCCCTGAGGCCTCAGGGTGCCCCAAATCCTAGCACGGGCCCTGGTATGCAGGCTTCCCTGAATCCATGCTCAGCAGCATACACGTTTCTTGAGGTGAATGTCCCATTGATGGTAACATCCTGCATTCCAAACTCCTCCCATACAAGGGGCTTCTTTAAAACATCCTGTATTTGCAAGACTTATCAGCAAATATGCTACGAAGGAAACCACCACGCGGTAAAAACATATAATCCATACGCGAGCGTCTTGATTATGTGCCGTAATCCAGTTTCGTATGAATGAGAGCTTCGCTGATGTATTCTGCTGGTTTCCAATCCAGTTTTCAGACCTGGATTTTGCACCACGTGAGATTTGCAGGGAAATAAGGAGATTCCAAGCTGTCCTCCCACTTACCAAATGTGTGCAACTGCAAAGTCAATTGCCCAGAACCTGTTGTTACGTATGAATTCCTGCCCCGTCTGTGTCGCCCAATGGCCCCAAGGCTCTGAATGCGGGCAAAACATATTAGGCTAAGCCACAAGGAAACAGCGACAAGCAAGTATCTCACCTCCTGGATTGATGGACGTGTGGTTCTGATTTTCTCCATAGAATCCCTCGTACCCAGTTGCAACCAAATGATTGGGATCAATTTTCTGAAAACAGGCAGACAAGATTAGCCACGTGAGGCTAAGCAGCCAGCCGTAAACGTGCTTGTCGGAAATACCTTAACGTATGTTGACATCAATTCAGTCCAACTTTGGACAGAATCTTGACAGCCATCAGTAAAGCACCTGCAATTCAGAGATTAGACACAGCAGAAGAACGAAGCCCACACTATATTTTGGTTTACTTCCCATACCTTGGCTCATTTAGCAGGTTCCAGCC